GGGGCTCCCGAAGTATGCGAACCAAGATGGCGGACATCGGAATGTAATATGTGTACTAGGTTGGGGTTCGGCCATAATTTTAGGTATAAATACTACGAGAGGCTCTTGGCTAGTCTTCGAACTGATAATAGGACTAAAATAAAGAAAATTGGAAAAACATTATCGCCTAACCCTAACCTGTTACCCATGTTACGTTCCGATGTCCGCCATCTTGGTTCGCATACTTCGGGAGCACCCATTTTTGATACTTCCCGAGGAAAAGAAAGTCGATAAAAAAGCGCGTTGAAACGTTGTTGCTTTCGAGAGAGTATTTATGGGACGCGAACTTGTACAGAGTACTAATCTAAGGTGAAGATTTCTAAAATTAATCCTGAAAAGGGGGAAGTAGAAAAATATCGCATTGAAATCTTGCAGCTTTCGTAACAGTTTTTGCGGACCGGGGGCGTTTACATAGACTTATGAGATTTTCATGTTTATCTCGGGGAAAGGAAAGCCGATAAGAAAGGGGGTTCGAAATGCTGCAGCTAAATTTATTTTTTCGCGGATTAGATTTTTTCCAGTCTGGGATCAGTGTCCTAGAGACACTTCGTATCCGAGTCTTATCGGTTTAACGCTTCATAAGCATGCTACTGCGTGCAGTAATCATCTACTTCAGGGGGATTCGGTATGCGCCGCGCACCAGCAAGGCACAGACCTCTACCCCTGGCTTCTGTATATGCTATGCGTAGCACAGCACGTGACATTATGTGACATTTCGATGAATTCTTTCAGATGTAAAACGTGTTTAACGAGCGTTCTTACTATTTGCCGAGTTGTTATTGTGGGTTTGGCAAAGTCATTTGTTTCCGAACAATGTTTGCTATGTCGTGAATTATGATCGCACAAGTGATTAAAAAGTTCTATGAGTACTATAGAATTCCTTATCTTGTGAGTTTTAAGCATAAAATGCTACATATTCAAATAATTTCAAAATTAATTATATTCGATGTTACAGATTCAGAATTTTAGAAATAATTGATGAAATATCACAGAATCTTACGACAGAGTCTTGTATCAAAATCAGATTGAAGATCTCAGATTATTGAAGTGACCATGAAATGTCATTTCATTTGTTATTTTCTGATTATTACTAACAGTACCGTCTCCCTTTACAGTTTTGCTTGATTAACTCTGAACGGTTCCGACGTGTTTATTTTTCCAACGCCTTGAGATTTAACGCTCTTGGTTTAACCGCACGTGAAGTATCGTGGCGTTGCAAGTTGTGCTAAGGTGTTTGGGAGCAGGAGTTAGAAATCGAATAAATGGTCCATCTCGTTTCTTCGTAAAGTGGGCTGCCATATAGACAGCAGGTTGAGAATAGGGAAGGATATATGATTCCAGTCGCTATTTGAATGGCCTCCTCCATACAGACAGCTGGTCAGGAATGGGAGTAGGGTTATATAAATAGTCACAATCCTCATTTAAATGACCCCCCCTCCCCCCCAAATATCCCAATCGATATTTTACCGCCAGCTCCATGAACGGGTTTTATTCTGCCATGTAGACAGCAGGTAAGGGATAATTATATGGTTCCAATCACTATTTGTATGGCCTTCTTCATCGAGGGCTATCACCGTAAAAGCTAGCAGGTCCAAAGGCTAGAAAACGTCATCTAAAGGCGTTTCAAGCTACGTAAAATTCCTATGTATGATACAAAAAAAAATGCTTTTTACTTTTTAAAATGAGGGTTCCGACCCCCAATCCCTCCTTCTGGCTACTCCCCTGGGTTTTTCTATCACTAATTATGCTTTTTTTTTACATCACGTTGCAGTGACTGCTTAACTATACCACTGTACGGGATGTTGCCTTGGGTCTAATTTTGTTTAAAGATTAAATGTGCCCACCATCTCAGCCTATGTGTAATGCCTTGGTTCGGCAATGGAGAACAGTGAAGATTCCGTTTCTTTAAAAAATATTGGTTTCTTACGTATCAGCGGCTGCTTATGCAAAGTCTTGTTCGGAGTGGAAACGATTAAAAAATTGCAGGGTTACTCTCACGATTCTTTGTATCCTTTTTTAGAGCTTCATATACCAAAAACTAACATTATTTACACATTTATTTCAGTAAACATTACGATTTTCTAACTTGATGATTATCGTCTTCAGTAGACGTGAAAATATGTGTATTCCGTGTCAACTATTTTAAATACTGACAAAAGTTACGATTGGTTGGTGTTTGGTTTTATTTTGCTACTCCCAAAATATGTGAATCAAGATGGCGGACACCGGCAGTCCGGCAGGTTAATTTCAGGTGCAAATATTACGGGAGTCACTTGGCTAGTCAACGAACTCGTAATAGAACTAAAATAGGGAAAATTGGAACAAAATTATGGCCTAACCCTAACCTGGTACACACACTATACGTTCCGGTGTCTGCCATCTTGGTTCACATACTCAGAAAGTACCTTTATTTTGAGTCTCTTATATGAACTACTGGCAGAAGTTACACATGATTGAGTTTTTTTTCTCATTTTCTGACAATTATGTGAGGATTGCCGACAGAAGTCACGCTTGGTTTGGTTTCTTGTTTACTTCGTGTCAATTATGCGAATACTGACAGAAGTTATACTTGGTAGCGTTTTGGATTATTTTTCGCATTTGCATATGATTTCTTATCAGTTGTATAAGAAATTCAAACCCGAGTTTTTTAAAATTTATGTAAGAAATACTGACAGAATTCACGATTGGTTGGGTTTTTGAAATTATTTCGTGTGTAATATAACTAAATAAGATACTGACAGAAGCCACGCCTGGTTAGGTTTCCGGGCTTGTTTGTGTAGGATTCTGGCAGAAGTCACGCATGATTGAGTTTCTGGTCTTGTTTTTAATCATTTGTATATATGATGACAGAATTCACGCATGATTGGGTTTTGACTTTCTTTAAATTATAGCGCTTAAGTAGTCAAGTCCCACGCTTTTGCAATTCAAGCGACCTGAATTATACATTTTCATGATTTCTTAAAATGTGTTCACGGCAACCATTAATTAATATCTATCAAACACACATCAGTCTTCAAATTGATTAGATTGCCTTCGGCAACCAGGTGAAATAATAAATCAATTAAACTATCACAAGCCATACGACGTCTCAACTTTTAATGTTCCATAACGATTAATGGCGGGCACGGATTAAAAAAATCAGAAAATTAACTTACTTTTTACCGTTATTGGTATTTTAGTTACATTATTTAGACTTGCTTGTCCTCATTGTAAATTTGATGTAATGTAAAGTTTGTCAATGGCCAAGCTTGCATCAAGTGTGATATACCTATATTTGATTTGCTTTGTATCTTCGAATACATAAAAATATAAGTTACTTTTACTATTTTTTAGACAGTATAGTCCTTAGCGATTGATCTATATTATCTTAATATATAGGCTTATAGGCAGGCTTCCGTGACGAAATTATAGGAAAGTTGAGGAATTGAGTTTAGGCAGATTACAGCATGTATTTGTGTGTGGGTATGTTCATGAAACTTTGCTCAAAGTAAGATCCCAGCCCACAGCTAGAAGTACAAACAGTACGAATAGAGGAGTTGTATGAGTTATGGTGACCGTACATTTGAAACCATGTGTATATCCGCGGGTTCAATCTATATGCGGGTGCTAAAACCCTTGGGTTAGGGCTAGTATGGTTCAAATATTGGTAAAAGAAAAAAAAATTCTATAGGTGCAATGTATGCAGGTGCAATTTTCGTTGGTTTAAATGTACGTGGGTTCAAATGTAATGGAACCATGAGTTATATATTGTTTTACGAAAGTTTGAAAGCAAAGTTTCTGAAAGAAAGTTCTAAAGTCTTGAAGTGGGAAAAATCTACTTCGAATTACTGTCGTAATCACGAATGGTACCTTTGAAGGCTTTTGCTTGCCGCTGCCTCAGAATTACTCCCCCAACCGGTTTGTGAACTCTTGCCCCGAACGCTCATTTTTTATTGTTCAATTTCTAAGTGTTAAAAGGCCTTAATCGGGCAGTCGTACTCGTCCTGAGCAATAATTGATCTTGTTACCGAGTCGTTACGTAGTAATACTGCCATCCTCTTCCCCCGTTTTCCTCATTCTCGAGACTTAAATAATCACTGTCAAATATTAGCGACTCGTTGTCGTCGAGCCCTCTACATCAGGGTGGTTCAAGGTTGTGGGCTCCGCGGGCCACAAATTTATTTTGGCATTGGTCGCGGGCCACAATAGCACCAAGTATAGGTAAATAGTGCAATACAAAACAACCACTTTTAATGTGTAAACACTTAATTATCAGGCGTTGCCAACCTAGGCTAGTGGAATCCGCATTCGATTTTTAGTTTTCTATCATGCCTATATTGTTAGCATATATTCCCGACCAAAATGATAGAAATTCAGGTGACACTTTAGACTGCCCATCACATCATTCAACGCCGCTAGTTGCTTCAGCTAGCCATCATACTAGTCAATTCAATCGCAATAGTGATATAACAACAATATGTCAAACGATTTTTCTGCTTTATTTAGAAGAAACTTAAAATACGACATTTTGATTACTCCCCGAATGCGGCGCGGGCCACAGATAATGGAGCGACGGGCCACATGTGGCTCGCGGGCCTGGGTTTGGACCACCCTGACCTAGATCATAGATTTTCAAAGTGCTCCATACAAAGCCCCAGGGCTTCGGAAGCTATTCGTTTATTTATTAAAATACTGACTTGACTAATTTTTCAACTGTCAAAAAAGCAATAGCAGCATATATAAAATTTGACAAAGGTAGAGTAGAAATGTGGCAACAAGACGGTAATGTAAACATGACATTATCTATAAGTTCCAATACATAATTTTTATTTAAAATTTTATTATGGTGATCCGTAAATAATAGTCGACCTTTTCACGGGCTCCATAACACCAAGTGTTTGAGAACCCCTGCAATAGGTGAGGTCGAGGTGTCTCCTTGATAAATTCCGCAATAAACAGCCTTATTTTTGTCACACAGTTTTCAAATGTAAATAGGCCTTACTTAGAGAGAAATATCAATTAACATTAACCATAAGTCCAAGAATGGGTCGGAAACTGGATCTAGGATCTTTGACGGAAGAAGAAGAAAAAATAATTTTGCAAGTTATTAAAAGGGATTATACTGTGAGAAAAGTGGAAACGAACAGAATCGGGTAAGCTATTTTTTGCGCGTGTAATAATATTTTGGCATAATTTCCGAAAGAAGCGTGTTCGTCATCGCGTTAACGTGGGAGTAAGTTTGCTTGAAGCAGGGCCACGCACAAATGCACATTTAGTAGGGTGTATCGAATACCAGAACCCAGATCATTTAGGATATATTCTAAGGAGAACATAACTGTTCTGCAAATCGTCATGGGTTACTGAAACTATGGTACTCCTGAAGTATGCGCACCAAGATGTCGCACAACCTGAATCATAACCTGGTACACAACCTGAGTTCAGGTTGTGCGCCATCTTGGTGTTACTCCCACGTTAACTTTTGGGCACCATCAAGTCCATGCTTCCGAAAACAAATAACTAACTAATCCCATACCCGAATTGGAATGGTAACCGGACGAAAGGCCGTGGTTCGCCATATGGTTAAGCTCTCTTATCGGCTTTTCTCTCACCTGGGATAAATATGTAAATACTACCCTCCTATGCCAATCATACTTAAACAGAAGTTCAAAACAGAATCCAGGTTATTTTGAAACATATTACAGATAGAACATAACTTGCGTCCGTGATAAATCGAAATGGCATAAGACAATGGCATAACTTGGACTAGTCTAAGTGATTCAAGAGTCTTGCTGCACACGAACACAAATATATTTCTGTAACGTTTTGTCTGACCGAGGTCAGACTTCTTCAGCCGAAACGTTAGGGAATACATTTGTGTTAGTGTGTATCAAGACTCTTGAATCACTTAGGATTGTTATCTTTACTCTTGCTACAGCATCCTTGCACTGGTGACCGTACATTTGAACCCATGTACATTTGAACCCATGCGTATATCCACGGGTTCAATCTATATGCGGGTGCTAAAACCCATGGGTTAGGGTTAGTATGGGTTTAACTATCCGTGAAACAAAAAAAAATTCCATAGGTGCAATAGCATACAGGTGCAATTGTCATGGGTTCAAATGTACGTGGGTTCAAATGTAATGGAACCCCTTGCACTATATGCATACGGATCCGTCGACACGAAAGCATAGAAGAAGGATAAGTAGTTAGTCTCGTAGAAACCAAATCATTAGCACAACTTGAACTAGTGGCTCTAAAATTGTCGTGGCCATTTGCCCGTTCCAAGCACCTTTACTACTATCGTTTTCATAACAACAAGTGAATGAGATGCGATTTTGAAAGTATATGAACCCTTGGTATGAACACACAAACATTGTCTGAATTGGTGATGCCACATTCCACTACGGTTCCATCATATCATCGCTACGCGAGACCCCAGCCCAGAAAGTAAATATGTGCATAACTCATGTCTGGACTCGCCCTTTTTGTTAGAGTTGCGAAGAAGATATTAAAAAAAATCTATAATTTAACCGTGTTTTATATGTAATGAGTGTTTTGTGTAGTATCAAAATCAGCAAAATGTTGTTCAATTGAACGCAACCCCGGTCAACCGTTTGATCAAGAAAATTCGTTTAACCGACCAACCACTCGCAAAACAATTCTAAATATCTTTCCTATATATTGAAACACGCTGTCAAATATGATTTCATGGCCCTCAATTGAAAACGGAACGAAAACCCGGTCAAATGTTTGAGCACGAAATGTCGGTTAACCATTCAACCGCTCGTTGTCCGTCATTTCAACTATATTTACTGGATACCGAGTAGTCATACACTCTAGTCTAGAGTTCAACTATATCATTCTATGGTCAACCGATAATTCAGTAAAAAACGGTCAACCGTTAACAATCATTTTGAATGCCCTGAAAGACAAACCGTCAAAAAGTATTAATACATTTCAATTGATTTGGTTAATTTAACAATACAAGAATGAATAAGTTTAGCCTTGCATGACTTGCGTGAGGATTATAAATCAAAAATACTGTTGTATTACATGGAATTTCATAGTATTTTTCGGCTCTTTCACGTCAATCTTTAGAATTCAGTTTTGAAAGGTTGTTTTCTGTTTTATTTTTGTATTTATCCGCGGGGAGTAGGAAGCCGATAAGGCGGCTCAGCCACCGCCTCTCGCGCGATTACCGCGAGTTATTTGTTTGAAAAGTTTGAAGCCGTTACCGATAAACGAGTGCTACACGGTGCGATCACTGTAAATTTGCTAGTTGCTCACGGGCACACCTTCATATGACCACGGTACATAATTCATAAACATAATTCTTTTAACAAAACATTGGAATTATGCTGACATTGGAGTGGCCATATTAATCATTTGCCTTCGTTGGTATTGGAGACGAAGTGTATCGTTTTGTTGTTATGTTGTTGTTCTCGATATTTTTCTTCCCTAATGTTATAGTATGAAATAATTGCTTCTCTCATTAACTATAGGATCAATTGCTTCGAAATTTTTAGGGGGTGAAGATTGTATTTCACTAGACTAGAAGGCCGTTACTTTTATATATTTCAAAACTTTCCGTGGGATTTATAGGATTCGTTTTCACTTCGAAATTATATGTGATGAACTTTTTAAAATTGTTACAAATTATTTGTAGCGGTTCTGTGATCTCTCACATGCTACTCCCGCGCTACGCGGAAGTCGGAACGTTTGTTGACCGTACCGTGCTGGCTTACCACTGGGCAAGGTACTGTATAAGATGAGGTGGGCCACTTCTTTGTTTTAGCTTTCGTGTATTAAATAAACTCCGCAATTTAAGGGTCAATCGATTTTAAAATCTACGACGAAGAAAGCTGAATAAAGCCGCTAGATGACTATAATTTGAAACAAAATTCTATGAATTCTTTAGAGCACATTATTTGGTACTCCTGAAGTATGCGTACCAAGATGGCGGACACCGGGACGTAGTATGTGTACCAGGTTAGGCCATAATTTTATTCCAATTTTCCTTATGTTAGTTCTCTTGCAAACTCGGGGACAAGCCAATGACTTCCGTAGTATTTGTACCTGGAATTATGGCGTAACCCTAACCTTACACATACTAAGTTCCGGTGTCCGCCATCTTGGTACGCATACGTCAGGAGTACCAATTATTTGAAACCAAAGTTTTTCGGGTTCAAATTCTTAACGGGCACACCCTAATATGATATTTAGTACCAATCTTCATATGACATTCGGCGGGACATTTATGTCAGGTGGAGAATTCGCACCAGATAAGTGTTTGTGTGGGAGGGACGAACGATCAATTTCACAAATGCGGTTTTAAATGTTTATTTTAGGCGCGAAAGTTTGTTACTAATATATTTGCCGTTGAAACTGGTAACACGGCAATCGGAGAGAGCGTCGTAAAAAATTCCACTCCGAGAGAATTTTAAAGAAAGATAAATTTTCATCAGCGCTTTTTCATGTATATTTGCCTCTAACATTACCAATCCGCAAACCCCAAAAAATTTCCTGTCGGTGCCCTCGTGTGTTTATTTGTTTTAATCCTCCCTCTTTTCAGATAATCACCCCTTTGTATCATCTTCATTGACAACCATGTAATATGTGTCCCGTTGTAACTGATAACACGGCGATGGCAGACCCGCCTTTATATTGGACTTGGGATCGGATTTTTTTTACCCAGGGGAGAGGAATGTGATAAGACGGATATACCATAGGATAGAATTTTCATTTTTATAACGAAAGAGAGTAAATCCTATAAGACGGCTTAATCATAAGATAAGAGTTCCATATTTATCCTGGAGAGAGAATGCCGATCAGACGGCTTAATTATACGGCAAACGACGGATTCTCTTAAAATAACTTTGAACGTTCTGATATCGGCACTTGTTCGTATGGAGGAATGTTCGAGGTAAATATGTCATAAACCTTCAGCTTTTCGAAGCATGTCATTGACAGTGTTTTCAAAACTTGATTTCCGACATTAGAAATTTAATTAGATATTTAACCGTGGGTGTCACTGCTCAATAACCAATCCCGGTTTCTCGCGACTCCCCTTCCCCTTCCCTTCCCTTTTCCTTTCCCTTTCCCTTCCCTTTATTTTGTCAATGTTGTTTTTTATTGGATGGAAAAAAATGAACTTGACTATGACCATGACTGTTACACGACGTTTTTACGCATTCACTGAACGAGGCTCTGCGTAATCAGTCACTGACGCTCGCCTGGGCCAATCGAATCCAAATATTCATTATTTAGCAATGACTAAAGTTTTCTATGAGTTCTTTGGGAAATTAGGTACAAATATTCGTATAATATACGTTCAATTATTTTAGCATTGTGATGACCAATTAATAATCGTTATCTTCGTGCCCATATATTCTAGCATTACTCTCCTATTTTTAACGTGAATTTCAGAAATAATTTTGATACAAGCCTTCTTCGTGCTTCGTTATCTTCGTGCCCATATATTCTAGCATTACTCTCCTATTTTTAACGTGAATTTCAGAAATAATTTTGATACAAGCCTTCTTCGTGCTTCGTTATCTTCGTGCCCATATATTCTAGCATTACTCTCCTATTTTTAACGTGAATTTCAGAAATAATTTTGATACAAGCCTTCCCACTAAATTGAGACCTAGTCAATAGCGCAAAATTATTTTCGACGTAGTCGGTAGTAAGAAATCTCTCCTACACGTTTTAAATGATTCATAATCTATGTTTAGCAGTTATTTTAAATAAAAACGTGGTATTTATGAATACATGGATATCGGTTTTTCATATTCTGTATATTTAAAAATCTGGTAATTCTCTAATTTGTAATTTTGATAAACAAAAGACATTCCTCCAAAATAAGCCCTAGTGTTATTTTTTCAAAAGTAAATTGAATTACGACACTGTCTTATTTTCGGGAAAACACGTCAGTGTATTCGCACCAGTTAAGTGTTTGCGTAGTTGGGAACGAGCGAGTACTTTCTCAAACGCGGATTTAAATGTTTATTTTGTTTTGAGCGCGTAGATTTGCGACGATTATATTTACTGTTGAAATTGATAACACGGCGATGGCAGGTTAACACGGTTAACCAGTCCATGTCGGGTATGTGATTAGTTTAGGACTTAGGGGATTGTCTGTGTTAGTCAAGTGAATATACACCCCTGCCCATAGCTTTCAGTCCCTTGATGTAATAACTTGATGTAAAGTAACCGAACGAAATTAGTTACCTCCATATTGGTACACATACTTCTGTAGTGCCCGTAAACCACCCTACGCCGGTGAAGAGTCCATCAATCCCCTCGCACATAAATATTCCTCACAGGATGTTGCTAACGCGTAGCGTAATACGTCAACTTTCAAGTCAAATCGCGATATTAAAACTTTCAATTCCATAAATTTTTGAATGCTCTTAATACCAGTGATGACACTATAGATCAGGAGTGGGCAAAGTTTTTTGACCCGAAATTATGTATCTAGATTCTAGACCAGGGGTTCCCAAGCTTTTTTTAGAACGACCCCAAAGACAACTTTCCAGTGTCCAGTGCGACCCCAAACAATATATATACTTTGAAGCTTCTTTCACTGGACTTTTGAGTTTGGTCATGTGGTGATATTAAGTAAAATAAGCTGGAACCAAACAGTGATGTCGCAATAAGCACCTACATTTTCTATAGCATCAGCATAGAGCGATGCCTATGGGCCTGTTTTTCAGTACGCCATGGTATACAAGCTGCTAAATTTAACATGATTTATCAAATCTTAGATGTTTTGTACATTCATCCTCCACCATACCTCAGCGACCCCACCGACCCCATGACCTGTTTGCGACCCCACGTACTTATCACTCCGACCCAATTTGGGGTCGCGACCCCCGGTTTGGGAACCCCTGTTCTAGCCTGACGGATCATGTAAGTATGAAGTAAAAAGTTTCATGTAATAAACAATATTTACAGTGCTACAAAAGCAAAAGTGGAAAATAATATGCATCGTGGCAAAACTGAACTCAATCGCAAACTCAACAAGTTCTTTGAACTATTTTAGTTACACAACAAAATTTGATTTTAGTTTGGTTGTGGCAGCGTCAGGCGGGCCAGATTAAAATACCCACCGGGCCGGATTTGGTCCCGAGGGCCGTAGTTTGCGAATGAAAGCTATAGAGCCTTGTTCAAAGTAGAGGTGTAAAATGCCACATAAAAAAACTCTTGAGGTTTACAATCGTATTATTGAATTTTCAAGACGACGTTTCTACGCATTCGCTCAGATCAAGGCACTGTACAACAGCTGATGATACGTAATGAGCTGTTTCATTTTGGAAAGAATGGAAGCATTCCGGTTTGGCCTACTAAATATACTTTCCCTTTTCCGAGCAATTATTCAGTGAATACGTTTACAAGTTCTACGTTTGCGCCACCTAAGCGCAAAAATGATTTCACTTTTCCCTTTCACAAGTAAACTCCCCTTTCGTTCCTAGTTTCATTGCATGACAAGGTTATTTCACAGGGTGTTTTCATTTTTATTGAGCATGATTCGTTTGAACATAATGGGTTTTGGAATCTACCAATCATAGTAACACTATAAATTTCACTGAAATGATAAACATGGGGCAGGGGAGATTAAAAGCCCTTCGAAAGCGGGCCACAAGCCATAAAGGGTTGGTAACCACTGTCGTAACTTCTTACAAATATTTAACAAGTGGGTTGAACCTTCCAAACACGTTTAGTGGTTAACCGCTTCCTAGAGTGAATATAAACCGCAATAACCACGGTAAAGAAAGTTGAATTGTGAATATAATCGAGTTTAAACATCGGCATTACGTAGACATAAAAATAGTATGGGATCCCGGAACTCATATCGGGACTATGGCTGGGCATCTCGAATACCTGGTAGTTTCAGAAACGAATCAAATATTTTTTCGAATCGAATCTAGAATTCTTTAGTACTCAGAAGATTGATAATTGTTTGTGACTTTTTTTTATAAAATGGGCCCAGACGCATAAATTACTGAAAACGCATAAACTCCATCACTCAGAAAGCACAAAAAAATTCCTGTCGGCACCCTCGTGTGTTTATAATTTTTAAATTCACCCTCATTTTTGATTATTCACCCCCTTGTACCATCTTCATTGACAACCATAAATTCGAAAATTTATTTACAGAGAACTTTCCAAAACCGTTGAGAATGAGGAACTAAAGCAACAAGAAATTGTGAAGGAGGCGGTTCAAGGGGAAGTCCCTATTGATACTCTATGTGCCAGATGTGGGAGTAAATTTATATGGCTCATCAATCCTAAGGTGGGTGTGACATGTATACGGTTAGCTTATGTGCACACACTTGCGTGTGTGAGTGTGCATATTTTTTATGTGTGCTGTTGTGTGTGTACATATTGTGGTGGATGTATGTGTGCCTGCCTTATGTGCGAGATGTGGCAGTAGATTCACATGGCTTATTACGGAGGGGAATGTGAAATATATATGGTCAGTTTATGTGTCTGCGTTTGTGTGTATATGTGCTCTATATGACAAATACGAAGACGAGTTTGAAATATATATGGTTGAATATGTTTCCGTGTAGGCTTTTTGTGGCAGGTGTGAAAGTATCTCCTCATGATTCATTGAAATTAAGTCAGGTGTGAAATCTGTTTGCTTGAATTATGTGTGCTATTGTGAATGTGTGTGTGTGTGTGTTAAGATGTGCCTGATGGTAAAGGTAATGGGAGTAAAATAACATGTCTTAATAAAATTCTGTCTTTATATATAATGATTCATTTATTTTCAGTCGAATGTGAAATCTGTTTGTTTGCCTTATGTGTGCTACTCTGTGTGTATGTGTATACATATGTGCCCAATGGTACAGGTAATGGGAGTAAAATAGCATGGATCAGAGTTGTATGTGAATGTGACTGTGTAAGTTGTATGTGACAAGTTGTATGGGAATGTGACTGTGTAAGCTGTATGTGACTGCCCCGAGATAAATCTTAAGATCTTTTCACTTACAGAATCAATGCAGCGGGTGCGACCTCTACTTTTGCAAGAACAAGATCGAATGTATCGTTTACGACAAACTCACAGATAAATGCTTCTGCAATGCCTGCTTGAAACAGAGGTAAGAAAATGCAGGGTGGTGGATGAGGGGAAATATACAGGGCGTCCACAAACCCCTTTGCGATTTCAGCTTTGTCATAAAGTCAGTTCTCAGTATATCTTAACCGGATTTGTTACTTTTTAATCGGTAATTGTTCAAATATTTTTGATTCATTAAGTACATCTGTGAGGGTCAAAACAATATATGATATTGATAAATTCCCTTTGCAATTTTGAAAAATGTTAAGACTTTATGAATATACATCCGACTCGGAACAATTTGGAAAAAAAACATACAGACTTCAAATCGAAAATAAAAATTGAACTTGGCTCTATATCTGATCTCGAAGATAAATTTGGTACTCCTGAAGTATGCGTGCCAATATGTCGCACAACCTGAACCATAACCTGGTACACAACCCGAGTTCAGGTTGTGTGCCATCTTAGTGAGCAAACTTCAGGAGGTCCATAAATTTTTACAAAAATTAAAACTTTGGATTGCATGCGGTTTGGAGTTTAAAGAGTTTAAAACTACAACTCTAATATTATGGAAAACTAGCTTGCCACGCTTTGACTTGGCAGACTTGAGAAAAAATTTGAAAATGTTCAAGGGAATTCAGGAAACTATTACGTGACCGGTGGGCGAAGAGCCTAGGTTAAGAAACCCTGCTTGATATAACCTACCTCTGATAGCCTTTACAATCAGGCAAAATTCACTTTGACTTCAAATTTTAAATTGACTCCAACTCCCAACTCCAGGCTGCCTGTCCAAGCAAAGTCCGATGCTTTAACAGTAGCCCATCGTGCCCAAAAGGAATAGCTATTTTCAGGGTCCAAGTTCAGATGACCGTATGGTTGTGTCGCTCCCTCCTGTCTTTACCAAAAATAATGGGTATTTATTTGAATCCATCTATCCAACTGTTTACTATCATTAATTTTAGAGATCTCCATGCACTTGCTGGTAACTGGTTTTATACAAAATTGAAAGGAAAGTTTCGACGGCATGGGGGCGCTAAAGTGTCGAGGGAATTTCAGAAAAGAAAGAAAACAAGAAAATCAGAAAGTGGTAAAATTGCTTTTTTAAAACATTCAAATAAAAAATATTTGTCTTGCTCTTGCTCTACTTTTTTGCAAAGATACAGGGTGTCTCAAAAGTAAGTATACATTTTTATTTGCGTTTCAAGTAGTCATCATAGAGAGTTCATTTCTTAATAAGACATGGTATGAATACGTAGTAAAATTTAGTTATTGTTTGCATTTTTCATCAACCCACAGAATGACGAGAATATTATCCCAAGAAATGAGGTGCAAAGTGCTGTTTGGCAAGAAGCATTTAAATCAATAGGAACAAACTCAGCGCATTTTTTAACAGAGAATTCAGAATTATTTCGTCTCAAGGAGTGTTTGTTCTTTGGTCTTCTTGATTTTTGTGCATCAGCTACAGATCCAATTCCCATAAATTTACGATGAATTGCTTAAATTGTTCGTTGTGTGGGAGCCGAATTAATTCCAAATTCTCTATTAAAGAGGTGCTGAGTTTGCCTTACTGATTTATATGCTTCTTGCCAAACAGCAATTTTGCACCCTATTTCTTGGATTAATCTCCTTTCTGTGGGTGCTATTTTATGGGTTATTGAAAAATGCAAACAATACCTAAATTTTACTACTTATTCATACTATGTTTTCTGAGGAAATGAACACTCTATAATGAGTACTTGAAAAGCAAAATACAATTAAAAGTGTCTACTTTATTTTGAGACCCTGTATATTCATGTTTATTGTGCAGTAAGAGTTTTGAATCATTTAGAATAGTTATCTTTATTACTGCTACAGAATCCCTAACATTATGCGCTTACAAATCCACCGGTGCAAAAGCATTGAGGAAAGATAAATACTTGGTCCCGTAGAAACCCAATCAATGGCACAAAATTAATTATTGTCCTAGCAAATAGTGAACATTAACTGAGCAATTTCCGAACTAATCAGTTATCTTAAGACATTAGGAATCAGTGAAAAATATATAAAAGTCTTCACAAAAAAGACAGTATATTAGCAGCAACTGTTCGACAATTTCTTTCCTGCTCATCATTGCCTGCCCACTGCACTGCACACTGAATCCCATTGCTGTTTATGATTTATCATACTCTCTGTTACATAAGTTTCCATGGTAAAACAGAAATTTCTGATTCATTTAGCTGGGAGATTATAACTTACTTGCAAAATTTGATTTCCAATTTTTATTCAAACTAATTCTATGCGAAGAATTTTTTATATTATAATAGACAATAGCTATTTATCCTGTTATGAACCAAGTTAGGTTATTGCGCCACCTTTCTATGTTTATCTTATGTTGTACAATACTTTCGCAAACCTATTGTAACCTAAAATATACAGATATTTAAATGGCCAAAATGGAGCAATAAGCCAATAACAATACAAAATCTCAAATTTTCCATATTCCATATGTATTTTTCACATTTACATTTACAGACAGCTCTCCTGGCCCATCCAAGAAACCAGCAAGGCTGACAGTGGAAGTTGAGAGAAATGGTGAGACAAAAAAGTTTATTATTCTGAACCCAAAAACGTAACTGTGACTTCCTCCACCACCAAGTCCATTCATCTGGCAACAAATAACTGGTTAACTCTCATTCAGTTACTCAGTTGCCACATATTTCAGTATTTGTGCATTTGTGCCATATACATGGACTTGCTGGCAAAAACATAGCCAACTAGAAGTTACATGAACCACCTTATGAAAGCGATTAATGCAGCAATAATCTCATCCACGGTGTTTTCAAACTTTCTCATTCAGCACATGGCAAAATTCAAAAATTCAACAAATTCTATATACTTCTGTAGACTCAATCTCCTCTATTGATTCCACATCGGCACCATCTTTATACCGGCACCCATCAGACAGAAGCTACGACAGTTCCAGCATCACAACTCTAGAGGAAGGTCGGGAAATCCAGACGCCTCTACATGGACAAATACAAGAGAATAAGAAAGATTCTAAGTCGGAGAAGAGTGATGAAGGGCTAATAAAACAGGTGAGGTTAATTAATGCTTGTTCATTGCCAAGATCAATGAGTTGAGAAATAATTGACTGGGCGGTGTGGCGCATTGTTAGAAATACGTTCGCTAGCGCACGTCTGATTACCCTGCAAGGGTTCACAAGTTCGAATCTATGTGGAAGAGGATTGCTAGACTCCTCGCTGCTGTAGAGTCACATATTAGCTGATTGGTTACAACTTCCTCCACCATCAAGTCGATGCAGCCGAGACAAATAACTGGCTAACTAATTCAATACCCGACATGGACGGGTAACCAGACGAGAGACCGTGGTTGGCCATGTGATTAGGGCGCGTTATTGGCCTCCTTCCTTTGGGATAGATATGTAAATTTTATCCTATCCTAGAAATAATACAATATCAGGACACAAAGATAAGTCAATTATTTGTTTCAATGTTCAGCAAGCTGATGAAAATGATATAACGGCAATCTTTTTGAACTTAATTATTCTCTGGGTAATCAGTGATTGTTAGTATATACTTCAATACGCTTTGGAATACGCTTGTCATCCCACCTCTGATTACCCTGTGTGGGACTGCTGGTTGGAATCGTGTGGGTTGAGATTACGACCAAAATTGATTACTGGACTTTCTAATCGTTGTCGGTTGGTTTAAGTAACCGCTGGTCGTTTATGGCTTCCTCCACCATCAAGTCCATGCATCTGAAACAATCAACTGGATAACTAATCCCATACCCAACATGGACTGGTAATAGGATGATGGGGTAAACTTGTCCCACACAACAAAATTTGATGGCCCCATGGATCGAAGCCTTGGCTCTGCTGACAATCCTAAATCTTGATCTCAACGTGTTTATCACTTATATTCTAATGCTTTTAGGATTATGATGTCACTATGGATGCAGTTGTCATAGGAACGATTGGAGCTCCTCTCCAATCAGCATCAACTGAAACTCAAAGTCATTCGTTTGACATTGAGATTCAAACTGATGACCTTGACAAGGACGAGGACAAATTACCAGCGATCAAGGAAGAACTGGAAGCTGCTATATCTAAGTTATTGCTGCCCAAGTTGGAAGAATGTAAGTCTTAATTAATTTTATTAATATTTTTTATTACGCACATTTTTTATTCAGGAGAACATGGCCCCAATGGCTTAGTTGGGAGTATATCCAATAAGATAAGAGGCATTTACAGTCTAAGAGCCATATCCGTACCACCTCATCGGACCTAATGAAGTGTTTCACATATGTCTGCTAAAATTATGGATATAAATTCCTGTTGAAAATATCAATGCAAAAACAACGTCATAATGACCCAATTGTTACATTGTGCTTCTTAATGTTTTTTATTCATAGTTTTTCATATTGAGTTTTGAGCCGCCATCCCTGTAATCAAGTCTATTATCTGTAACTGGCCCACTCAAAAAAGTAGTTGTCCTGATTTAGAGGCTTTTTGGGAGGTAATTTTCTGGTTATAATTTATCTCATACTCTTTTTTTTATTCTAGATTAAGTAATTCCTTGATTTTCATTTCTATTTCAGTAAAAAGATCTCAATCAGAGCATGAATCAGAACTGGAAAGGCAGAAAAAGATCGATGAATCGGTGAAAATGGCTGAAGAGATGATTGACAAGGCTTTGGAGAGAGCGAGAGAAAAACATTCTAATATGGTAAGTAACATCAGCACTATAGAGTAGGAATTGTGAGGTTGATCTTTGCATGTTTTAGTGAAGTTGTAGCTGCTGTAGTATTTTCAAACTGCCATAGTCGTATTTAAAATTCTGAAGTTTCAGACATTCGATGGTGGTAAAAGAAGTCGACAAGAACTCATAGCTTGTGACTAGATGAGAGGCCATGGTTTGCTACATAGTTATGTAACCGGATAGGAAGAACTGAACACTTCTTGTTTTGTCCAAGTTTTATCTATATGTTGTATACAATAGCTTGTTTAGAGCAAGTGTACATGGTCTTAGAAGATGGTCATGACTAGACCCTTAAAATCAGAGTTTAAATTGAATAGTTACTAAACTGGTAACTACAATCAATCGCAAGTAAGTTTATTTCGATTTTTTGTTTCACAACAATGAAGCAATACAGGGCAAAACAAAAAAATATACGGGTTATCAGAAAAGTAGGTAAAATCCAAAAAGATTTAAGACTTGCTGATGTACATGCCCACTTACCCCAAACATCAAACAACACATTGAAGTAATTTTGAAATAATAAATGACTATTTGCCAGTCCAGATGTCTAAAGTGAAGTTGAAAAACACTTCTCACTAATAACCCTCTATATTTTCTACATGCATGTGCTTTCACTCATCCTCACCTTCTTTCTTTAGCCTCAAGGTCCCGAGGAGAACGTTCTCCTGACCAAATACCTCACTGATAGCAAATCTGAACTGATGGATAAAGTCTCTTCCCAGCTTTACTATGAGGTTTGCATGGATTACTATGTTACTGCAGAGTGTGACTTTTTCATCTCAAATTCTCTCCCCTTCCCCCCTAAAAATAATTAAGAATTATATGCCTCCTGAAAATGGAGAAAAAAGGCGTTCTGTTTTTTTATTAAAATTGACCCCCTTCTCAAAGTCCCCTAAAAAAATTGAGATTTACATGATTCATTAAAATGAAGGGTATTGTTTACCCTCCCAAAAAAAGAACCTTTGCCCCCTTTGAAAAAAATGTAGATTCACATGCCTCCAGGAGAGAAAAGGACATGAATTACTCACTAAATTACTTCTTGCCTGCGATTTTTTTTAAATTTCCCCTCCCACCCAACCAAAAAATTGAAATTTGTCAGGCTCCTGAAATGGAGACCAAATGACATTTACCTGTTATATATTTTTATTGAAATGAACCTATGTAACACCTCCATCTCCAAAGTACTTGAAAAAGTGAAGAATCTTTCATTTATTGGCGCGGCGGTGTGGCTCAACGGGCTAAGCGTTAGGAATACGCTCGCCACCGCATCTCTAACTACTCTGCGAGGGTTCGCAGGTTCGAATCCCATGCAGGGATGGTTATGTGCGAGAGGATTGCTGGACTCCTCGCCGTCGTTGGGTGGTTCACGTAACCGCTGGTCGGTTACGGCTTCCTCCACCACCAAGTCCATGCTTCCGAAAACAAACAATACAGTAAAACTAATCCCATACCCGACTTGGAATGGTAACCGGACGAGAGGCCGTGGTTCGCCATATGGATAAGCCGTCTTATCGGCTTTCCTCTCCCCCGGGATAAATATGTAAATCCTATCCTATCCTATTAAATATTTGAATGTGACACAGAATTTTGGATTCATCTCTGAGCAATGTTACTGTACGCATCAAACCTTGTCTAAGGTTTTATTTGCTCTTCTGACTTCTTAATTTGTTTTTATTTTTTTGTTTTTATCAATCATTCTATTGTTATGCTGTTTCTGGAGTCAAAATAAACTTATACTTATACTTAGGACCACCAAAATACCATATATGTTTTGGAGAATAAACTTTTACTTATGAGCAGTATTCATTATTTCTTCCACAATTCCAGGCTCCAAATAATTGGCCAACTAATCCCATACCTTACCTGGACTGGTAACCGAACGAGAGGCCGTGGTTCGCCATATGATTAAGCTGTCTTATCGGCTTTCCTCTCCTCTGGGATAAATATGTAAATCTTATGTCTATCCTATCCATGCGATCTGTAATATTTATTTCTTCTGCAATTCCAGGCTCATGACAACAATGAGGGATCAGCTCGATCATCCATGCGTGAGACTGGGACAATGACCGAAACTTCAGACAGCGAAATGGAATCAATTAGTTCTCAATCTGTTACTAGTAAGTCAGGAGTCTTTAGTGTAGTGCTTTTAGATCTGTGTTTGGCAAAGTTATTCAAGTGATGCCCAAATAGTAGGTAAGAGTAGTAATGGTTTCAAGACCCAACAATTTTGTTGGAAATTTTAAATTTACCCACATAATAAACTTGCTAAGGGATATTTAATTTGTTTAGTTGGAATGAACATGAATGTAATGTAAAATCATTTGATATATTATGAACAAAAACCATCTGGCAAAAAAATTATATTTAATGTTGGATTCATAGAACTTTTTATGTATCACTGCCAGGCCCAGTAGAAAATGCTCGGCGGTTTTCTGACCATTGTTTTAGATGTAGATAGTGTTTTTATTTCTGGCTGGAAAAGAGGGAATCTAGTACGGGAATAGTTACCCAGTTATTTGTTCCAAATGCAAGGACCCTTCCATTTACATGTGGGGAGAAAATCCAATAATAGAGTGAACCACGGCCAGTTATCATGCAATGTCAGCTGTGTACTTTCTGCAGTCCTTTGCCGTGTAAGTGTGACCTTTTTTGAGAAAACTTCAATGAAAAAATTTAAAATTGTTTTCAGGTCGCCACCGATCTAGAGATATTCCACTATCAGAAAGACTTGGTAGTCTCAGCCCAGACTCTTTGCGAAATACATTGAATCAGAGTCAGGTAAGATAACGAGTTATGTCAAATCAGGTTTTTTCTTGTATTTTTGGTGAACACTCATGTCCCTGCTTTGGGTACTTCCGTAGTATGTGTACCAGGTTAGGGTTGGGCCATAATTTGATTTCAATTTTCCTTATTTTAGTTCTATTACGAGTCCAGGACTGTCTGTGTTAGCCAAGTGAAAATACCCCTTGCCCATAGGTTTCAGTCCCTTTACACAACTTGATGTAACATAGGCGAACAAAATTAGTTACCTTCATATTGGTACACACACTTCTGGAGCGCCCTGCTTCGAGGGTCTTTCCAACAATCCAAGACAAGCAGACAGGCTAAACTAAATCATAACTGAGATAATTTTACCTTATGATTGTCATCTAGAATTAGAACACTGACGTGCACATGATTATAATTTATAATGGTAAAATTTAATAATTTACATAGAGGGTCAGCACTTGACCTATGTGAGTGCAGAGTCCAATGAGAATGCATAGGCTACATTAGCCTAAGACTATTCCTGTGCATCTGTTATGCTTTCAGAAGATACCTGACTAAGTAGCTGAGGGCAAAAATCAATTTGTTATTCTAACAATAACACTACTTTGATATAAGTAGTATCAAAACTCTAGAATTACAACTTTTTAAAATTAGATATTTGAACTTTGGGTGTCGCTGCTCAATCACCAGCTTTGGTTCCCTTAATTTCCCTTCCCCAGTATAACTGTAAATTATCGTTTTCTCAAAATTTATGCTTGTGAAGTTTTTTTACTTGTTGGAAAAAATAAACTTGACTAGACTTTATCATTGTTCTTCTATATCCATCAATTTTTATTCTTAGATTCACTTCAAGTCCATCATGTCAAAATTCAAATATTTATTTATTTATTTCAGAATTCATCAGGAAGTTCCATTACACAAGGAGTTGTGCTGCAGAAGGATCAGTTGGTAGCGAGGGCTGATATTGATAATACTTTGGGACAAATATTAGGTGGGTATGCCCATATGCCGGGAGCATAAATAATTGTCTCTATGTACTGTTGGGTGCATGAGGTGTGAGTTGTGTAACTTGTACATGTGGTGTATTTGATTGAAATATTCCAGCATGATAGAAGTGTGTGATTGTTTAGAATAGTGGTTCCCCCCACCCCCCATTTTACAATTAGTCAAGTCTCGTGACCCACCTCAAAAATAACTAGCTAAGAATAAGCTAAAAATCACAGATAGTAAGGCAAAAGTATGTTTTATTCAATATGTGGATGGAAGGAACATAGATATTTAAAATAAAGAATTGTGAATATCCAAAAAGATTAAATCTTTTTATTTTTAATTAGCATCATGCCCCCTTAAAACATTGCCTACTCCTCTGTTGTGGGGCGTGCCCAGCCGGTTCACACTGGTTCTATAGAACCGTCTCACGAAACTTTATGAGATCAGCGAACCGGTTAGCATTACTGGTTACTGTCAATGTTCTGTTTGTAACAGAATCGGCTGAAAAATATGACTTTTGTGAAGGAACCGGCTGACAAAAAATTTGAATCCCACTACTGGGCGTGCTCCATCGTTTGTGAACCACTGGTCTACAACCTTGTTGTGGGCAAGGATGTGCACACCTAATCAAAAACAACCCAAGAACACCAATCAGCATGATATTTTTTAGATGAACAAGGGGTTATTTTGTCTGGTACAAACTCGCCACAAGAGTTCAGTACAGAGCTGAAATTTACTGCAATGGGAGGAGGGGGCCAACGTAGGCGTCGATTATCAACAGAAGAAATATCGGACTCAGACTCGGATCATTCAAGCGAACATTCTCACGAATTTCTCAAAGAAAACGAGAACTGGTCGGTACCTGAGGTGCAGAAAAGGCCGTCACAGTTTGGAAAGGTTTGTAAACTTTTGTAAAGTTTAATTTTATATCGAACCATTACGCAGTTACATAGCGGCCCTAAATAGCTCTTATATTCATGGTTGCTCGTCATCTTAGGACAACAACCTATATTCTGTCTCAGTTTTCTTGGTGTATTGTTTACTTATTATGAAGATGCTGTTAAATTATGAGGCACATGTCTACTATCTACTTTATTGAAAAGCAAGAGAAGCCACCAAATTTCAATTCTGTTTGAAATAATTTTTTATTTTTTCCCAGGTTACAAGCAATAGCAGTTCAAGCGCTATGATGTCACTGCAGAATGGTTTTGAATCGCCGTATGACCACTTGAGGGAGGAAGACAGTGATTCGGATGATCGAGAACATGTAGAAGAGGAACAAGTGCTTGCGAGTGTTGTCAGGTCTAATTTCAATATGACATTTTGTTTTGACTCACTCAGAATTATTATCTGAATTAGCAGCAAAGCTGTGAAGCCAGGTCGTATTTTTAAACTCCCAGATGTCAGAGTCATAGTCGAACTTTGCTCGTACCGGAATAGTAATTCCATACTTTCAGAGGTGATAAATGAGTCAAAACTTCTGACTAAAACTGCAAAAAGAATAAATTTTACCTGGCGGTCTCAATAGTCTATTGAAGAGCTTATTGCGCAACTTTTTCTGCCAGTGTGCCATGTAACTAACTTTAGACGTCTAGCTGAGTCACACAAATATGCGGAATGCGGCTATCACTTATCCTTACAGTACTAAGATTCAACGCAGCGACAAAAGCAAAAATCATTATGTATTTTTATCCATGTGAGCGCTCTTTTTATCATAAACTGTCGGATTTAGGATTTTATGCTTGATAATGAAAAAGTTGACCTTATTTATAAACAGCGAATAATGATATTCACTGGTTTGAATCCCATTCGGTTGCACAATCTATGCCAACGCAATTTGAATGGCAAAGAGAAAAGCAAAAGTTAAGTGTTGACAACGGCCACACTAAATGGCTTGTTGCTTGCTCACTCCTGGTCTAAATAATTATACAGGGAGTCCTCGACTTACGACGTTGTTCCGTTCTTGAGAAGCGGTGTAACCCGAATTTCAGTTTAAGTCGGAACATTATACTGTACAGTACATAAATTACTCTATACATATCGTACTGTATTGTAAAGTATCGTACAATGTAAATGACGAAAACCAAAGACCCCAAAGCACTGATTTTCTTGATCACAATTATCCAGTTTAGGGCTGAGATATTACAGTACAGAATTCTATTTTATTTTTTTTTGGAAGTGCGTTCGTAACCTCGAAACAGCGTTATGGAGTGCGTGCTCGAAACTTCGAAATAGCGTAAGTCGCGACCGTCGTAACCCGAGGACTCCCTGTATTTAGAATTAACGACACTTGAAAGACAGCGGAGTGAGCAGAAAAACATTTTTACCCATGTGAGCGCCTTTTTGAACATTAACTGTAGATTTGGGATTTTAAGCTTGGTGGGGAAAAATCTGAGTGTTGTCAAGGGCCACACTGAATGGCTTGGCCGGCAAGGTTGTGGCTCGCAGTCGCAGCCCACCTGTCGCACACACCTCAACTAAATAATGCTACTAAAACAACACCAAATACAAAATGACCTCCGTTGTTATAGTTAAAATTTTGGTAATTTTGGTAAAATTTTGTGTACCAGGTTAGAGTTAAGCCCCTTTTTAGGTACAAATACTACAGGAGTCACTTGGCTAGTCCTCGAACTCGTAATAGAACTGAAAACAAGAAAAATTGAAATATTGCCTAATTTGAATTATGGCCTAAAAATTGAATTATGGCCTAACCCCAACCTGGTACACATACTATGTTTCGGTGTTCACTAGCTTGGTTCGCATACTACAAGTGTACCAAAATGTTATTCCCGCATTGTGAGGAATTTAGCCTATTATACCTTCGGTCTCATTAAGTTATTCCAATATCTTTATTTCAGGCGTCCTGATAGCACTATGTCTCCTCCAGCTCTTATGAGCAACCAAGTTGAAGTCGTTGAATCATTACCAGCGAAAAAACCTCATTTACCAGTAGATGTCGCTGTTGATCCACGACTCCTTCGATCACTGAGTGAGGATCTGGATAGCGGAGAAGCGTTACCAAAAGTGAAGGTGTGTATAAAACGTTACCATTGGCGGGTTACGTAAATCTAACACATAACTTTCGAATATAACACTGCAGCTGCGGTTACTCAAATTACTCATTTCGTTGCTGTACAGACTTTTGCAAGTATCAGTATCTCGCGCATCTTATCCTATTTCCCAAATCTCCTTTTCTGGTTTCAAGGTTGAGTCACCCAGGACTCCGCCAGTAGAGGAAGAAATCATTCAAGCAGTGGACCGGGAGGCACAAGAATTCCAGACTCCTTCCACCACCGAAGAAACCACAGAAGAAACTGTGGTTCACGAAGAAAAACCCGCTGCTAAAAAGTGAGTTGCCTGGATCATATGAATAGTCATTTACCATAGTAACCCATCAGGGTGTTAATAAAGTCCCTTTACAATTTCAATTTTCTTAAGAAGTCAGTTCTCTATATATATTAACCAGGTTTGTTGTTTTTATCAGTAATTGTATTTTTTACCTCATTTGATACATTTGTGAGGGCCAAAGCAATATATGGCAACGACGAATTCCCTTTGCAATTTAAAAAAAATGTTCGACTTCATGCAGAAGTGATTCATTGACCAACATTCATTCTCACCAAAAGGTGTAAATTTGCTTCTGTTTGTAACCTTATTACTATTATTTATTTCATTTTATTTGTTATTTTATGTCGTTAAGCAGTTGCTTATCTAGAGCCATGTTTAGGGAGCACATGGTAAAACATCTTACAAAGAATTATTTATTGACAAATATTCTTTTTGAATGGAATTTTTTTTTTTGCTTTTAGAGACACTATCCATTTTTCGTTTCATTTCATACTATTTTTCATTCATTTTGTTCATTCATTCAGACGCATCCTCATTCCACCTCCCAGAACCCCAAGCACTGAATCTGATCTCAGCATCATACCAGAGGCAGAACAGGAATTAAGGTAAAGATCACTGGTTCACTTCAGGTTCTCAAACTTTTTACGAAATTTTGCATAATGGTCCTCTTTTTCTAATGAAATGCGGTCCACTAAAAATTGAAATCAAATAGCAACGCCTTATATCAAGTATTCACTCATTGTAAAGTTCAATGGGTGCGATTGCATGGCCAGTCATCCATTTTTCAACCAGCTGTTTATCTATTTTGAGTTCAGTTCGCGACAGTGCAACACTCATATTATGTCTCATTACCATTCTTTTTCAAAATTTTGTTTTAAAAAAGAGTAGCGTATCAGAGACAGACAAAAAAAAAAACACTAAAGTTATCTTATTTTCAGGTCCAACAGCTCAGATTCGGAATCCTCGGATTCATCAAGCGGTTCCTCAGAAAAGAGAAGCGTCAGGAGGTTTGTTCGATATTTGTATCACTGAATTTTCATTATGTTGTTTGAGCTGAAACCTGAAAATTTTTTTGTTGAACAAGACCCAATCTAGATTCCCTAGTACAGGAGTGTGCAAGATTTTTCGTCAGTGGGCCATATAACCAACGTCAAACATCTAGTTGGGCCATGCAAGGGCCCCACTGTATGGTTCGGCGGGCCGGGTTGTGGCCGATTTGTAGAATAGGATTTTCGTATTTATCTCGAAGGATAGGAAAGTCGATGAGGCGGCTTAATCATATGGCGAACCACGGCCTTTCGTGTGATTACCAACCCATGTTGGGTATAGGTTTAGTTTGCCAGTTATTTGTTTTCAGATGTGTGGACTGTGCCACGTGAGCACCCTATGTGGCAAGTAGCCCAGAGATCAATTTGCACATAATTAACCTTGCATGAAAGTTCAAATCTGCAAACTAACGGAGAGTAAACATAGGTGCGATGTTAAGCGTATTCATATCGTTTATTACGATGCGCCACACCTCATATTGTATTTGATATCCAATGGTAAAAATAATATTTCAGAATGTATTCGGAATAGTAAATTTTTGATTTTGGCCATGACTGCTCTTCTAGCATAACTAACTTAACCATTAACCTAGGTCTCAAATCCTGCAACCAGCACGGCACTCTGTAACTTCACATGATCATAACATAAAGACGAACAATCTGTCACCAAACCATGACTTGATTCCTGATGACGATGATTTTGGAGACAAAATGGCCGAAGCTATTGCTGCACAACAGAGAATTTCTGGACAAAAAATGGAAGAAGGTCTTGCCGCTGAAGAGAGGGAACTATATGAACCTAAACAACAAGAGGTAAAGTGATTTTTAACAGTTTTTCTATACAATGTTTATCACGCCTTTCACTTGGAACAAGGCTTTATATGAGTAGGATTTCAGCAATATTTATCTCGAGGGAGAGGAAAGTTGATAAGACGGCTTAATCATATGGCAAACCACGATCTCTTATCCGGTTACAAGTCTAAGTTGGATATTGGACCAGTTAGCCAGTTATATGTTCTTGGATACATGGACTTGATTGCGGAAGAAGCAATAACCGATCTTCGTCAGAGAGGAGTCCAACAATTCCTCCGCACATTACTATCCCTGCAAAGGATTCAAACCCAGGGTAATCCCAGAGGTAGGATGGTGAGCGTATTTCTAACGCTTGGCAGGAAATGCCACACTGCCAGTAGCCACTAGGGTCTTAATTTACACCCTGGGTGGGATTTGAACTTTAAATATGAAATCTCTGGTACTAACATAGCTGAGTATAACACTTCAACGCTATACCTGACAGGGGCATACTACGGCGCATTTGGTGATTCAATATGGCTCGTCTGAGACTGCCATAAATTTTGCTTTTAACCAATTCTGCGTGCACTACTTAGTTGTTGTTATTAAAATCCCAAATCTGTTTTGGCAAATGCCACAACCACAACCACACTAAAACCAAATCTTGATGTTTTAACTCAAAATAGCTGTAGGAATTTGTTGAGATTGTGAATATATTTAGTATTGGCACGAGGCTTATTGTTTCCACTTTTGTTTTTGTCAAACTCTTCATAAAATAGAACTTTCTAAATCACACTTATATGGCATGCCAGTATGGGGGGGCAAAATTTTTGGCCCCTGGTCTAAAAACCTTGTTCATCCCTGCACTGGGCACACACTGATTGTTCTCTTGTACTGACTATCATAAAGAATTCATTTCTTTCAAATTAGTAGGTTCTTGCTTATTCTTGAAAAATTGTTCCAAGTAAAAGCGTGAAAGTGCATTGTATAAAAATTTATTGTTCAACTCGTTTCACACTTGTACCAGAATAAAAACCACCATGAGATTAACCCATGCTATTGTCCTCTCTTCCAGGACGAATTCCAAAAAGTCTTATCTAATCCTAACTAGGCCAAGGCCACAATATTTCTTAAGCCCCAAAGCCCAACTTACTCGAGATAATGTCAAATTCCAAAGCTATATTGTCCAAAACAGGTTTAACATATAATTATCTGGCAAGCATGTAATTTTTTATCTTAAATCAATACCCAAACACAAAGGCTTATGCCGGCTGTATTACACTAGACACATAATTATATTATCTCAAGTCTATGAAACTAACTGAAGAATAACTGGTTAACTAATTTCATACCTGACGTGTACTGGTGACCAGACAGTGGTATGTCATATGATTAGGCCATTTTATCGACTTTTTCTCCTTCTGGATAAATATGAAATGCTTGTAAAGAAGAGCAAGGAATGGGTATTGAGTTTTTTGTAAGGACTTGGGGTTTATAGTATATGTCATAATAGTTCAGAAATGTAGAGTTGAGCATAGTCAAACTATAATAAGGTAGATTTTATCTATCAAGAGAATTTCCTCAAGGCTCAATCACTCACTCAGTAGTGAAGAATACTCATCCTTGAGCAAAGTTACAGGCACTCACTCAGAAGTAAAGGAGACTCATCTCTGAGCAAAGTTACAGGCACTCACTCAGAAGTAAAGGAGACTCATCTCTGAGCAAAGTTACATGCACTAACTCAGAAATAAAGGAGACTCATCTCTGAGCAAAGTTACATGCACTCATTCAGAAATAAAGGAGACTCATCTCTGAGCAAAGTTACATGCACTAACTCAGAAATAAAGGAGACTCATCTCTGAGCAAAGTTACATGCACTCATTCAGAAATAAAGGACACTCATCTCTGACCAAAGTTACAGGCATTCACTCAGAATTAAAAAGGACTCATCTCTCAGCAAAGTTACTGGCACTCACTCAGAAGTAAAGGAGACTCATCTCTGAGCAAAGTTACAGGCACTCACTCAGAAATAAAGGAGACTCATCTCTGAGCAAAGTTACGGGCACTCACTCAAAAGTAAAGGAGACTCATCTCTGAGCAAAGTAACGGGCACTCACTCAGAAGTAAAGGAGACTCATCTCTGAGCAAAGTAAAGGGCACTCACTCAGAAGTAAAGGAGACTCATCTTTTAGCAAAGTAACGGGCACTCACTCAGGAGTAAAGGAGACTCATCTCTGAGCAAAGTTACAGGCACTCACTCAGAAGTAAAGGAGACTCATCTCTGAGCAAAGTTACATGCACTCATTCAGAAATAAAGGACACTCATCTCTGACCAAAGTTACAGGCATTCACTCAGAATTAAAAAGGACTCATCTCTCAGCAAAAGTACTGGCACTCACTCAGAAGTAAAGGAGACTCATCTCTGAGCAAAGTTACAGGCACTCACTCAGAAATAAGGGAGACTCATCTCTGAGCAAAGTTACGGGCACTCACTCAGAAGTAAAGGAGACTCATCTCTGAGCAAAGTAACGGGCACTCACTCAGAAGTAAAGGAGACTCATCTCTGAGCAAAGTAAAGGGCACTCACTCAGAAGTAAAGGAGACTCATCTTTTAGCAAAGTAAGGAGCACTCACTCAGAAGTAAAGGAGACTCATCTTTTAGCAAAGTTACAAGCACTCGCTCAGAAGTAAAGGAGACTCATCTTTTAGCAAAGTAACGGGCACTCACTCAGAAGTAAAGGAGACTCATCTTTTAGCAAAGTTACGGGCACTCACTCAGAAGTAAAAGAGACTCATCTTTTAGCAAAGTTACAAGCACTCACTCAGAAGTAAAGGAGACTCATCTCTGAGCAAAGTTACATGCACTCACTCAGAAGTAAAGGTGACTCATCTCTGAGCAAAGTTACAGGTGTCAGACTAAATGTCAAGAGCTAACTGGACTATATAGAATTTTAGTGGTGGTAGACACCCATTTCATATTCTCTAAGTTACGTTCTGGTAAGAATAGATAATAGTTGCCTAATTTAATGTATCTGATATGCTATGTTTCAGGTCAATTTTGATACTTCAGTCACAATCGAACACAAAGTCCAGGAATCTATGTCCAGCATCAGTGGGGATGAATCGATATTAGATAAAGAACAAACAGAAAGGGAAATTGAGGAGGTGAGTTTGATGATTTTTTTTTACTTTTTTATTCTCAGTAGAGCTTCGGTTTTCAATTAGGGTTCTGTTGCACTCTAGGGTTCTGCCAGTAAAGTCCAGGGATTCTGATCGTTTAAGCTCGCCATCACCCTCTGATGAACCTGCGAGAATTCGTAAGTTCGAATCTCATGCTGGGTTAATTATGTCTGAGAGGATTGCTGAACTTCCCGTTATTGTTAGTTAGACCACATAACCGCTGGTCAGTTATGGCTTTATCCACCATTAAGTCCATGCATCTGAAACGAATTCCTGGCTAAATGATCCAATATCTGATATAAACTGGTAACCGGACTAGAGATGTACCGATACCACTTTTGTCGCCGATACCGATACCGATCCGATACCAGCTAAAAACGCCGATACCGATACCGATACGCCGATACTACAAAAAGGCCGATATTACCGATATTCCGATACCGATACTATGTAATTATTACTTAATTAGGTATGCTGTGTAGGGCAGACGGGTTAAAACAATGGTCTTTAAGCGTTCTTCATAGTACACATTATTTCAGATCGAAAAAAAAGATATATATATCACATAATATGAAATTAATGTTTGGTATCCATATGCTGTAACTGATTAAGATACATTGTACAGTAACGCTAGTAATCTCGGTGTTCAATTAGAAAACTCATAAGCCGGAATGTCCAATTTGAATTTAATATTAATATCGCGAGCTTTGAATATCGTTATTCGTGTTTAAAAGAATATCGAATATCACCCACACATTCTAGCGCCGCCGTCCTACGTTCAAATTAAAAGCATTTTACAAATATTTAATTTAGTGGCTAATCGTAATCGTCGACGCAATCAAAGCCAACATGAAAGAATATCAATCAGCACCGACAAAAAGAAAGCCCACCGTTAACCATTTAGGATGTTTTTTTACTTCGCTATTTCATAATATTTTACAATTGCTATCATATATTTTGAGACAGTCTAGGGCTAGGCGGTCAAGTCAATATATCTATAAAGAAATCGTGTAGTTAAGCAGAATTAAAATTAATACCTGTGTAGTGGGATAATTGTGTCGGAATTTAGTTTATCGATGTCGACGGACTAAATGACACTCGTACTTGACGACAAACAGTCAGAATTTATACCCGTGCCAAAAGTCCATGTGCCGTTAGTAAGGAAGGACCCCAATTCCACTGTATGATTTAAAACTGGGCGCCTAGTTGCTTTTTGTTATGTGCTGTGTTGATATATTTCTTCATAAAAACTATGTAATATTAAAAATGTCAATATAAAAATTTGACAGCGAAAATAGCCAAATTAGTTGAGCTAGTTTAGCTGATAAATAGCTAAAAACAAGTGAATCCTATTCTCTCGCAGGGGTGGGGACATGTATGGCTCATAGCTCACGATCTCTTCAGACAAAAATAAATTAAAAAGTAGTATTCCAACTTATCTTTTAAAACATTCTGGACTATATCAAAAAGGTAAATATATCGGTAATATCGGCCTTAATCTAACCGATACCGATACATGGCCGATACCGAAAAAATGGCCGATATTGCCGATACCGATACATCGGTACATCTCTAAACCGGACGAGAGACCGTGGTTCATCACGTGAATAAGCTATCCAATCAGTTTTCCTCTCTTCTCGGATAAACATGTAAATCCCCCTCTAAATCTCTCTTCTCTCTCCCCCAAACACTCACTCAGACAGACCGACTCAAACTGATTTTCTCATGTCACTCAGTCTTGATCATTTACTTAACTTCGACTTTTTGCATTTCCAGAGAGCAGTAGCAATGCGAATGATCAACAACAAATCTATTGAAATTCTCTCTGACACAATTCAAACCATCGAAAAGGTCAAAGGTCATTCTTCATCAGAGTCTTCAGATTCAGACTCAGATGACGAGTCATCAAAACATGAATCGTCAGAAAATATTCACAAAATTAATGTAGCAGAGGAAGAGGTTGGGTATACTCTGGTCTTGTGATTGGTCGGTTATATATTCAAATCATCCATCAGTCCCATGCTTCTGGGATGTTTATCTAATTAAATATTTTTGTTACCTGACTTGGAACTGTATCCTTGGTTTGCTATATGATTAATCCATCTCATCAACTTTCTATCCAGAAACTGAAAAACAATAAATTTCCCGCAGACCAAGATTTTTGATTTTTTACATTGGGATCCCTTTCATTTATCTCAAATTACATTTTCATCCGCAATAAAATATTCCTCTTCATTAGTTTAATTAATTTCAATACCGTATATGCTCGTTTTACCGCCCGATCTTGATTAAGGGCTCGTTTGAATAGCCGCCCGATTGAAAAGAACATAAAAATAAATAAGGGCCGGTGCTTGAATACCCGTCCGATGTAAAAGCCGATTTTTCAGTGGTAGAGAATAAGAATAGAAAATAAGAAGCGCTTTTGTCACAACGCTGTTGAATTTTTAACGCTGGTTGATAACACACACGCATTAGGCCTCCAATTACATAACAGATGGAATTGATTACGTGACACCATGGTTCTCAAACTGGGCGTCGCGACGCCCAAGTGCGTCGTTTCAATATTGATAGGACGTCGCCAAACTTTTCTTTTTTTGCGGATTTGTACCTGCGGTGCGTAGAAAAAGTCAAAATTTTCGTAGGTTTTTTTAAATAATTTTTTGTATAATTTTACTTTAAAAATAATGAGCGCCCATGCTTGAATAATGGCCGGTTTGAATAAGGGCCCGGTTAGTGAGTTTTGTTAAAAAAAAATATGGTCCTGGGCTACAAAACGAGCAAATACGGTATTTCCAATCTTTGTACATTGTTTCAGTTTTCTGTTCACTTTTCAGTCTGAAAAAGGCCATTTACAAAATCCAATAATATGCTAAGAGCTAATTTTTTTGACTTTGTCATTTCCCCCCTATTTATTACACCCTGACCGAGGGAAATGGGGTCTAAATCTGAGATGAGTAATCTGCAACCCCACTTTACATTTTAACTCTTAATTTAGATTTATAAGAATGCAGCCAGAACATTTGTGATGGAAGAACGGATGGATCAAATACAAAGAGATGCTGAAAACCTGAATCATTCAACCGTGGATGCTGTCGAAAGATTGAAACAACTTGAGGAAGAAGTCGGATTCATGGAAAAGAAAGAAACAGAAGTTAGACATGGAGTGAGTTACATTATTTTTACTGTTCCATTAAAGTGTTAAAACAATCGTAGTAGTAAGGTAAGTATAAAAAGAATTATGTAATTTATATAAGACCTAAATGTAATAATATCGAGAAAATAATTGAAATGTCTGTGTGACAAAAATCATACTTTCAATAATACGTATTAATACACCTCTTTTCTTTGAGCATGTGAGACCTGAACGTAATATTTTGAAAATCGAGGTTTAAAAAGTTGGAGTGTCTTGGTGATAATGTCCCTGACCTTTGGCTTCTAGGGGTACAAAAATGTTTAGTCCTATTGGCAGTTAACCGTGCTACAAATCATTTCTGTTTGACACTTTCGCATGTTACGCGATATCTCACGAAAGCGAGGTAGAATCTCCAAATTTTGCATGTGCATTCATCATTACTAGGACCAGAAGCCTAATGATTTTGGATGAATTATGTTGTATAATTAGCGAGTTATTAATTTATTAGTGATGTGACATGCTGTGTCGCTATTGAGTCAGAGCGAAGGAATCGAAACCGCAGATTGATAAGTCAGCCGCCTCTGATCGTTATTTAGTTTTACTGATAGTCCATTTGTTCAAAGTCCAGGAAAAACTAACCCTGCTGACTAAATGTCAAAGCAGGCATTGGAATTGCAGAATAAACCCTCTGATAAAGTTACAGAAGAATATCACTGTTTTTTTCCTGCTACAGGTGAAATCTATTGATGACATCATGAGGGAGTTAAGAGAAGCAGGATTGAAAGCTGAACGGGGAGCATTCAAGCGACAATCACTGGATTCTGCAACTGCTGCAGCTTATAAAGAAAATCAAAAGGTAAGCCAGGGTATAAAGATTTAATTCAGAATCCAGAAAAACTTTTCTAATATATTTTTTCATAAATCTTGCGAGTCCGCGATAGGTTTACTTAACTCCCCATGAAATTTACAATTTTTCCTAAAAATAGATAAGTTATCATTTTATTCTGCAAGAAGGAAATCAGATACGATGACCTAATCATAAGCCATACAATGAGTGCTCGTCTATGTCGAGTATGAGATTAGTTAGCCGGAGTTTGTTTCCAGATGCATAGACTTGATGGTGGCGGAAGCCGTGACTGACCAGTCGTTACGTGAACCATCCTAGGACGTTGAAGAGTCTAGTAATCCTCTTGCATATAATTAGTTCTCGAACCTGCAAACCCGAGTAATTAGTAGTGCAATGGCAAGCATAATCCTAACGCATAATCCGCCCTGTGCCACGTTTTTCTCGCTATAGAACAGTCATCAAGATCTTGCTTCAAAATAAGTTATTGTAAATACATTATGACTGAGCTGAGTTTCCATCCTCATTTCATATGAAAAAAGTGAAATGCCTTAATATATGAAATAATCACGGTACCGATAACTTACACAATTTACACTGAAATAAGTGTGGATCAGAGGGAAATTTTAAAAATAAAATAGGATAGAATTTACATATTTATCCCAGGGGTGAGGAAAGTTGATAGAACGGCTTATCTATATGGCGAACCACGGCCTCTCGTCCGGTTACCAGTGCATGTCGGGTATGGGATTAGTTAGTTATTTGTTTTCGGAAGCATGGACTTGATGGTGGAGGAAGCCGTAATCGACCTGAGTTTACGTGAACCACGCTATGGCGACGATGAGTCCAGCAATCATTTTGCACATAACTATCCTCGCATGGAATTCGAACCTGCAAACCCACGCATAGTAATCAGAGGTGCGATGCAATTTTTTTACAACAACAACAACAAATTGTGAGTGAACATGTACCACTTTTCTTTTTTCGTTTCAAAGTTTATCTAATTTTTCTTTTGTTCTCTCAATTTCATAATCAGTTTTTATTTATTTTGTTTTTATCAATCATTTCATCGCCTGTTATCCTGATTATGGAGTCAAAATGAACTTATACTTATTATAAGTTAGCAAAGTACCCATATCACCACTTCTTGTTCAACTATTAATACTTTCCCTTTTTTAGAAGCCATCACGATTCAGTCTCCCTCCTCGCACTCACACTCACCAGATACCAGTGAATGCTGCATCAAGAGAGACTCCTTCCTGGTCGGAGAGAACATTCAAAGTCACTCCAAGTATGTTATTTGATTAAGTTGCCCAGAGCTATAATTAGGGTCTTAAAACTACATATAAATATTGGTGTCGTTTTTGTAAAGCTTGCACTGCCACTAAGCCCCTCACCAAAGGTTTAAGAGATTTGAAAAGCAATGCTGATCATGAAAAGTATGATACTTTCGATAAATAGTAGTATTTTTGTGTACGATGCTAACAATTCAGGTAAGAATCCCTGGCTCATCTTACCAGGGACAAAACAAATTGGATATGCTACAAAAATAACGTGACAATGATGAAGACAATGGGGGTTTCATGGGTCGGGTTTGCATTAGCAAATGCTTTTACTCTTCTATGCTAAGAGTTTTCATTCTAAAACTCTCGCTTTCTTGAATTTTTCAAAGTGGTTTGCTGATCATAGTTTAATGTTATATTCAACCCAGTATTTCAATAAAGACAATACATGATTCCTGTTTTTTCCAATGTTTTGTACTTTGGAGTTAAAAACCTTGTATTGTTATTTAGGACCGACAGCTGCCCCACCCATAGAAAACCCTACGTTCCACTCAACGCCAAAGTCAAAGTCCTCAAGCTCGAGTCAGTCAAGTCACTCAAGTCATAAATCCAGAAGTCACTCAAGCTCCTCAAGCCATTCTGGGACTCGCTCAAGAAGTGAATCTGACGAGAGGAACATGAGCGCTTTTGAGAATATTGAAGGTTGGATAATGTTATTGCTTATACCCTTTGCCTTTAAACCTCTTTGTTTTAACTGGGCAGTTGGTGCATAAAACTGAGTATTGCCAACACCCTTGCTGATTACCTTACAACAGTGGTAAGCAAAGTTTTTGGAGCTCCGGAAGTATGTGCACCAAGATGGCGCACAACCTGAACATAGTATATGTGTACCGGTTAGGATTCAGGTCGTGCGACATCTTGGTGCACATACTTCTGGAACGCCAAGTTTTTTAAGTATGTGATGTTGGATTTATAGAACTTTTTATGTATCACTGCCATGATTGAAATTTATTGGAGGCCCACTAGAAAATGCTTGGTGACCCAAGATTGCGCTCCGGCCCACAGTTTGCCGACCACTGCTTTTCATGGATTCGAAGGTTCGAATCTCATGAAGAATTAATATATATGCAGGAATATCTGGACTCCCTAATGTTGTAGGGTGGTTCATGTAATCATTGTTCCGTTACAGCCCGCTCCACAATTCTTCTGCAGTCTGGAGCAAATACTTAATTACATGGATTGGTTTACAGTTGAAACTTAAGGTCTGCCATGTGCTTAACCTGTTTTAACCACCTCTTCTTTCGAGATACATATGTAAAATCAATCCATCTTGATATCGGTTCTTGCTGAAAATAGAAACTCTTTGCACACCAGTAGCTAATTATATAGCCCTAATCTTGGAAAAGTATAAAAACACCCCATAAAAGAGGTTAAAGGTTAATGATTCAAACCTTGTGTTCACTTTTTACTGAAGTTTACCATGTGATGGATTTTTACATCTTTGAAGTCAATTACTCTTCTTCATTTAACAGCAACCATTGCCGCCCCTATTCATGCATCAGTGGACACGCCACACTCTAGTGGTTCTGTCACGCCCACCCATTCAAGTCGATCTGTCACGCCCACAAGATCTATAACACCTACTATAACTAGTCCACATAGTACGCACTCTAGACCTCACTCTGAAGAAAGAAAAAGTGACCATCAAGATACAAACCATACTAAAGGTAATATTCCTATATTTAACACAGGTAGAGAGAGAAAGCTCGTAGATGTTTTAACTAAATATTAAAGCTGGCATGGGATTTCACATTTATTCTGACAGATAAAAAATGACCCCTAATTCGGTTAGCAGGAAATGAGAATTTATCTAATGATTCTCATTGTGAACAAGAAATAGGTTTCTGGGAGGATTTCAAATAGTGGCTCCTTGTCCAGTTACCAGTCCATTTCGGATATTAGTTAACCAGGTAAATAAAACAGATGCATTGAGAATACAGAAATATGTTTGTCAAGAACAAAGTCAGAGGTACAAGACGCTTACTCGGGATGGCAGCAACCAATGTTGTAGGCCAGGGGTCGGCAACCTTTTGTCGCTTGCGGGCCAAAATTAAGGGTTGCGGGTCATTGCCGGGCCGCACACATTTTTAGAATGTTGAAAACCGAACGGATGATACTTTTTATACGGTAATAAAAATCAAGCAGTGATACATCCCTAGAATAGAATATAGATTAATTTCCTCATTGCATTGCATCTCAAAAAATTCCATTCGAATATTTTCGGCACCATTGAACCCTTTGCACTTATCATCAATTTTTCTGCGTTTTGTTGCCATTTGTCAAATTATAATTAAATTATTGGCTCAACAAACGAGTGATTGTGAATTTTATACTTGTTGGATTATAACACATGTGTTATCTACACGTGTCTCACAATAAATTCTGTTACGTAAAGAATATAATCGTCAAAACAGCTGTTTTGTTACTATAATTCAGTGAAGCGTCGAGGGCCGGATGCGACCCGAGGGCCGTAGGTTGCCGACCCCTGTTGTAGGCTTTCACTCGAGTCAATATAAAACTGATAACTTTTTAAACACTTGTTAAAAAAACAAAAATTTGACTTTGTGAGTTCACCAGACAAGGTACTGGATAAGTGACCTGAGTATGTTCAAAAGCTGACAAGCCTAACAAAGCCCGCAACTGATAAAACCTAAGAATTAAAATCTCGCTTATAGCAACTCATTGAAACATGTCACCTATTTCAGATACGACCTTCAAATTTAATTCCTAATTATTGTCTTCTGCTCTTTCAAATTCATTCATTGTCATTCAGTTCCAGTTATCATTCCACTGAAAAATTCATCGATTTCATCCCATTCATCAAGTTCTCTTCATTCAGTAAATTCATCGCATTCCAAAACTTCTTCTGAAGTCAGTGATAAAGAATTAAAAGAAAGGATTCCAGGTTTGGCCATTAGATAGGATAGTATAGGATTTACATATTTAACATGAGGGAGAGAAAAACTGATGAGACGGCTTAAAAATAGGGCAAACCACGGTCTCTCGTCCGGTTACCAGTCCATGACAGGTATAGGATTACGTTGTTAGCCAGTTATGTGTTTTAGATGCATGGACTTAGTGGTGGAGGAGGCCGTAACTGACCAGCAGTCGCTGTCGAGCAAATTTTAATCCAATTTATCACCTTGCTGGGGTGGTGGGCATGGCTCTTGAGCGTAATGTAGCAGGAATAAGAGCGAAGCTTATTCTAGGTCAGGGTGGTCCAAACCCAGGCCCGCGGGCCACATGTGGCCCGCCACTTCATTATCTGTGGCCTGCGTCGCATTCGGAGAGGAATCAAAAAATCACATTTTGTGTTGTTTCGTCATAAAATTAACCAAACCAAATTGAATTGACTAGTATTATGGCTTACTGAGGCAACTAGCGAAGTTAAATGAGCGAAATTCTTAGCACTATTGTGGCCCGCGAACAGTGCAAAAATAATTTTGTGGCCCGCGGAGCAGCCAATCCTGGACCACCCTGTTCTAGGTGATTAAGTTGTCACTTGTCAAGTGCCACACACTATCACAAATGTATTTCTCTAACTGGCAACACTATTGTGCACTTCAAAACTCTTGAATCACTCGAATTACAGTTTTGTTACTCGTCATAACATTGGAGAGATATAACTTCTCATCCTAAATGATCATGCTCTTTTTTACATATAACCATACATACCCAAAATTCATTTACAGCTTCTGTCCTTATTCAACACAAAGAATCTTTAATTTCATCTCATTCAGCGAGTTCTGTTCATTCAGCCAGCTCAAAATCCTCTTCTAAGACTGGGAAGGAATTTGAAGAAAAAATTCCAGGTAGAGGAATATTGTGTTCTATGTATAAGGGGTATACCAACGCATAAACTGGTAGTTTTTGCCTAATATTACCCGCCTGGCGACAGTGGTCGAAGAACTTTTTTCTCTGTGTGTGCTCCAATTTACCAGACGATTTGGTACTCTCGAAGTGTGTGTACCATTTTCCTTATTTTACTCCTATTACTAGTTCGGGGACTGTCTGTGTTAGCCAAGTGCATATATCCCCTGCCCATAGGTTTCAGTCACTCTACACAACTTGATGTATAATAGGCGAACAAAATTAGTGACGGTACCTCTGTATTTGTACACATACTTCAAGAGCAGTGGTTCTGAAACTTTTTGAGCCGCGCCCCCCTTTGAAATATTTTACAAACTTCGCGCCCCCCCCTCTTTTTGCTTTAAAAAAATGGTTTTGTGATGGACATGTTGTTATATATTAAGATGGCGCTAGAAGAGTGTTGGTCTCATAGCGTCATTGCTCAGATTGTTTAGGCATAAAATGCATGGGATAACGCAACTTCGCCATTCACTGTCGTATTTATAAAGCCAAATAGTGGTTGGTTGGTCATACATTCTCGTTTTCCGCTCAGTTTGCAATACCTGGTGAGGTCAAACTAATTTTCAAGTAAAACTAAACACGCAATAAACCTATGCTTTAATGTATTTTCTGCCTAAACGTTTACATAAGACACGTAAAATTTCGATCAAAAATTTGCCTCATCACTACTGAGCAATGCAAAAATTATTTACCGGTACTGTGTGTTAAAAATAAGCAACAATTACAGACTTCTTGGCTTGCGCCTAACGTCTCAAACAAAATGGCGAAGTGCAAATGAATTTATGTAAAACAAAAGCAGTTCATTTTTTAATACTTATTATGAATGTGGAAGTTTCCCCGGCTCTTGACCGCTGAAAAAGAAAGTCGCTAAGGTGTTTACGATTGCATTTTGTTTAAATCTCGATTGTTTTCGTCAGCGTGGCGTGTTATTAAGCCATAAAAATCTTGATTTCGGTGTTTATTCTTCCTAAATCAGAAATTTCCCGTGACATATTCTTGTGCCGCGACGATTATAATTACTTTTTTGTTCTCGAATAGAACCATGACACCTCTGAGGAAAACGAGTTCGTTTTTATTACATAATCATCAGCGACGAGATGCTAAAGATAGAATAAAAAAGTGAATCCGCAACCAAAAATTTTTTAATTGTAAAAGCGGCATTATAAAATACTAAAAATAAAACGGAAAACACCATGAGTTTTGTTTTGGGGTGGACCGCGAACACTTTTTAGACATTGCGAATCTCATAAATTCTTTGTGCCTGCGGCACACCAGTACTGTTCTAAAACTACCGACTTGAAACAAATTTTACTCCGTGGGATATTTACTCGCAGACTTAGGAATCTCTGTAAAGGTGATATCTTAAAATTAATCGACTGGCAGCAATGCGATAGAGCGGAGTATGAGTTGCAGGGACAGCTCATATTGGTAGAAGTGGCAAAAATACAAATCAAAACAAAATGTAATCGGGCACTTTGCCACATATTATTATTGTTGCGAATTACCGTGGCATTTTGGAGTAATGGTGCTTTTATTTTATCGACGCAATCGCAGATTTGATTTATCACAATTAAATGAATAAAGCAACCATTTTAAATAAGTATATCCGTCATGGATTGATTATTTTTATTCAACAGGAAAACCGTTACATATCCATTGAAAAAGTCGTCTCTTTTTACGACTCGTGTACTGACTCAGGGGCCGTACCGCGAGGATTTCGAGTCGATGAACATGTATTTTAATTGTACTAAATCAAATATACTTTCTGGGATATCATACCAGATCTTTCTAATGACGACAACGAATTCGCATGAGCGAAATATATATCAAAACTAAATATAATCGGGCAGTTGATCAAACTTTTTTTTAATATGTCCGCGGATTGGCGTGGTATTTTAGATCGGTAATGAGTTTATTTTGACATGAGTCGCCTGAACCGCGAGTTACCTTGAACACAAATGAATTAAAATAGAGAGACATTTTGAATTCTTGTAGTTATTACGAGACAGAAAAATTTATTATACCACGTAAAAGCCGGTATTTTTAATGAATGCAAAGACCGTTTCGGGAGCCGTTACACGTAAATTTCCGATTCCATCTTGTGACTTCTCGCGCCCCCCTAGGGGGGCGCGCCCCCCAGTTTAAGAACCACTGTTCAAGAGCGTGATTCATTTATTCGCAAATTAGCTGCAAAATGATTTGATTAATATGCGATGTGATTTTGAATATTCGATTTTTTCGAACTGCCCTAAAACAAACATGGTCCTTGAACACGGCTGCAGGCAATCAGACACTTGCAAAATCATTTGGTATTAGATATGTTCTATATAATTGTGAGGCTGGCCAATTGGCACAAATCTGAACTATAAAGCTTGTAATTCCTGGTTACTATGTGCAGGTTTGTAGTCTCAATCCAGCAAAATAGGCATAGACAAATATTTGTGTTGTATTTTGGGGTACTTCATGCATTCACTACAAGGATTTCCCTACACCCCACCCTATAGGGGGTGAACATCTTCTAAAATTTCAAACACTTCCCCTACTTTTGAGGTGTGACAACATTTATTATACCTAACTTAAGTATAATTGTATTTGAATAACCAGAAAGTGGCCTATTTATCAGTGTAAATGGTCTGTCATATTCATGTCACTGTATCTGTTCAGCTTCCATCTCCATTCCTCAAAAAGATCCATCAGTTTCATCTCATTCAGCGAGTTCCATTCATTCATTCAATTCAGAAAAATCAAGCAGTTCATCTCATTCAAAATCTTCCAGTGAGAAGGAATACCACATAAAGCATGAAATACCAGGTTGGGTATTGATTGGTCAATTGGTTACTCAGGACAGGAAAGATAGCCTAATTCAGTGGTTCCCAACCTTTTATGGTTCGTGGCCTCCTTCTTGAGGCTTTTAGCACTCCATTGGTTTTTATAGTGTTATTTTGATTGGTGGATTTCAAATTCCATTATGTTTGAACAATTTATGCTCAACAAACATCTAAATATGTTGGCTCCAGAGACTCATTTAGTGTGTAATAAATGGCAAGAGCCAAGCCAGGAACAGAGTTTAATATGGCGAACCACTCATCTAATTACCAGTCCGTGTCGTTATGGGATTAGTTAGACAGTTATTTGTTTTCGATAGCACGGGCTTGATGGTAGAGGAGGCTGTCTTCCCGTATGACAGTGAGAATTTAAGCGATCCTCTTACACATAATCAATCAAACATGGGATTCAAACACGAAGTGGTGCGATAGAAAGAGTGTTCTTTAGGCACTGCTGTAATATGTGTACCAGGTTAGTATTGGGCCATAATTTTATTCTGATTTTACCTATTTTATTTCTGATACAAGTTTGGGAACTGTGGGTGTTAGCCAAGTGAATATACCCCCTGCCCATAGGTTTCAGTCCTTTTACACAACTTGATGTACAGTAGGCGAACAATGCGCCGACTGCCAAGTCATACTGCCATAATATACTATTCGCTTTTGCTTTTCATTGCTTCATACATTCCATTTTTCAAATTCATTCATTTTTATTCAGTTCCTGTTATCATTCCACTGAAAGAATCGTCAATTTCATCTCGTTCAGCTAGTTCTGTTCATTCATTAAATTCACTTAGTTCAGTCGAAGAAGAATTGAAAGGGACAACCTACATGCCAGGTTTGTTAAGTTGAAATTATCAGTTTGTCGACTTTCTAATTCTAACACCTTTTCTAATTTTATGGGCATGATGACACAGTAGTTCAGAGCAGGGCCATTGATACCCCTAGTTCTCTAGGGATCACGAGCAGATTCACTAGTTATCAATCGCAACACTAACATTAGTTTAAAGTAAATTAACTGGGATTTGTTTATTTCCTTGACGGTAATGCATTTTTTTGCTTTTATAAAATCTTACAATTTGAAATAAAACATGAAAATTACTTAACTTTAAGATCAGATATGAGATTGTGTGAGGCAGAACTTTATGGTTGAGAGATGTGTTTTGTCGAAAATTTCAATTTTCAAAACCAAACGTGGCCGATGTGATGACGCAACATGAGTTGGGGTTAAATGTCGCTATAAGAGGTTCCTTATTTCGTGGCAAGAGATTATTGAAATTTCCTCCCCCTTTTCAGGTCTTTCAGCAGCTGAATTAGAAGAATCTAGAATCCCAACCCCAGTTCCAAGAAAAAGAATGGAAACCTTTCAGATTGAAGAATGTGCGACATTGCCGGCCCCGATTCCAAGAGAACGGAAAGCTAGCAGCAGTAGCTGTAGTAGTTCAGGTATCATGTTTCTCTGCTTATTATATGCACTTTCACAACTAAATCTAATTTCCAAAATGGATATTATGCACCAGTTAAGAAAAATATCAAAAATAATACTTGATAATTCATCCTTAACTGTCTCATACTTGCCACGTATATCAGTCTTGCTTCTAATATTTGTTGTAAAGTCTGTTAGAACTGTGATATGCTCATTTTACTGCTTAAGTTTTTGTTACAATATTTTTAGATACTTTGACAAAGGATTGTGTTTAAGATATGCTTTGTCTTGTCAACTTTCCTCTCTCCTGAGAATAGATAAGAAAATTCTAACTTAACCAAAACGCCTACATGAAAAATATTTGAGGGTTGGATTTTAGTACTGGCTGATATTATTGTCATATGATTGAGCCATCCTATCAACTTTTCCTTCATCTAGTGTACATTTGAAAATTCGAATACCAAATACCTATTATTACAACACAGATGATGAAGAAACGCAGACAACTCTCGAAGAATCATTACCAGCGAAAGATGTTCGGAAAATAGTCAATAAGTTTGAAGTAAAACAAGAAAAACTGGAAGGAAAAGAAGGAAAAGTGGAAACAGATGAATCAGGGACTGAATATACTGAACCACTGATTACAATGGGAATGAATCCTGAATTAGAAGAAAAGAAAAAGAGAATTTTAAGGAAGAAAAGTCAGTTTAAGTTTCCTACATCTTTGTCAATTATTTTTTTGCCAAAACCGAATTTGTACTTCTTGATTCGTTGGTGTCTGCTTTTTAGGTGGGTTTGAGATTTTTATATACTTTATTTTATAGACCATAAGGCGCACTTTAAATCCTTTTGTTCATAAAGATCAATTGTGTGCCTTATATGGATCAGGCAGTGCTTTATGCTGTATTGCTTACACTTAAATCCGGTGCCGGTAATGTTTTGAAAACGAGTGCATCTACATGCACCTCATGATAAATAAAAACCCAATCTAAGGTATTTATTGACAGTGCGCCTTGCAGTTTATTGCACTTTAGCTTTATGGTCCATAAAATACAGCAACATTCAGGATTGTGAAGTTGGGAGATTGAAGTTGCTTCGTAGATTTCACAGCTTTATATTTATGTACCTTACTCTGAATTTTATAATTTATACTGAATTTTAAATTTTCTCAAAGCAAAGGATATTTATGGAAAAAAGAATACTTCGGGCAAACCACCGATGTGCTGAGATATTTCTCTACACAACAGAAATTTCACTGAATAGAGGTTAACATAGATAAAATTCACATATTTATCCCGAGGGAGAGAAAAGTTGTTGAGACGGCTTAATCATATGGTGAACCACGGCCTCTTGTCCAGTTTTCAATCCATGTCGGGTATAGAATTAGTTAGAAGGTTATTTGTTTCAGATGCATGGACGTCAGCCATTAGTTACATGAATCACTCTGCTCGGCAAGTAGTTCAGCAATCTTTTTTCACATAAATAACATGTAGGGTAATCAGAGGTGCGGTGGCTCCTAACGCCTAACATGATGCGCCACACCCTGAAACAGAACTAGTAAAAATAAATCAACAAATTATAATCTAATACTTTTTTACCATTCCCGTTATTCTTACAGAACCTCTGATTAACACGCAACTCAGCACTGAATCTGAATCTTCAGAAAGTATTGGAAGATCTGGGAAGAGAGACAGTAAGTTGTCATTTTTTTCTGCATTGTAAGTGGTGATTTGTGACTGGACAGAGTAATTGCATTCTACTATCAAGACATTGATTCTGTCAGTCATGCTTTATTACTTTATTTGTAGTTAATTTTGACGTTTTTTCACTGTTTTTGCGAGGTTTACGATGGCTTTTCACAATTTTTGCACATATTTGCAAGATTTTCACAATTTTTGCACTTTTTTGCTAGGTTTTTGGAATTTTGTCACGGTTTTGATTTGATTGATTTGTCAAAGTTGATTAGTTAAATTGCACTGTGCTAAATGTTTTATATAATTGTGTCGAATTTAGTAAATATTTAATATTGAGTTGTTCAGTTGCTATACTTGCTGCTTCAATGCAGCTACATGGTGTCGCTGACTGGGTGACTCTTGGAGTCTATCACGACCACTCGTCTACTGCAACAAGACGATATCCGTTTTTGTAATTTGTTATATGCTTTTTATGTACTTCATATAGTATATTGGTTTTGCATGACGAAAATAAATATCAGGCTTTTTCACACTGGACAAGACAACCCAATTTATTACACTTTGGGTGATTAGGTCTCGTAAAAGCAATATAAAAAAGTTGATAATTATTAATATTGTAGACGAGATGTATGCACAGAGCCATACCAGCCTAAAACACAAATGTTTCACTAATCACGATTTGTTATTCCCTTATTCTAATCACTAAGCAGATTTGTTTTGAGTTAGGATAGGATTGTCATATTTCATTAGGAAGCTATGGAACCTTATAAGACGGCTTACTGAAACGAAAAACCACAGCCCACTACCAGTTCAATGGAATATGGCGATAGTTAACCAGCTAATAGTTCCTATTCTTGTACCTCCTGTAAATGCAGATTCATGTGAATTCAAGTCAATGCAATTTATTTAACCTTTGACCCTTATTTCAGAATCGAAATACAAGAAAGATGACAGCTGGATGCTTCGAAAAGAAAGTGATTTTGATTCGGATTCTGCTTCGGTTTCCAGCAGTTCAAGCAAACATAGCAGAGGTGAGTGCTTACATTGTAGGAAGGAATATGATTTATATATAACCCAGGTGGAGGAAAGCCAGCATGTTGACTCAGGATAGAATTTATATTTCATATCAAGGACAGGGCGAAATCATATGGCGAACCCTGGCCTCCCGGCCACTCGGTTACCAGTCAATGTCAGATATGGAAACGTTATTTATTTATCTGCTTCAGAAGCATGATCTTGATGGCGGGGAAATCGTAACCCATGAGAAGTTGGGTAGCCACCATACTGTGGTGAGGAGTCCAGCAATACTATCGTAGATAATTATCCTGTACCGGATTAAAACCTCATTTCCCCTGCAGCTCATTTCCCTTTTCTCGATTAAAGCCTTTGATATATATATAGTAGGATAGGATTTACATATTTATCCCGAGGGAGAGGAGGCGGCTCAACCTCATGGCGAACCACGGCCTCTCGTCCTATTACCATTCCATGTTGGGTATGAGTTAGTTAGCTATTTGTTTTCGGAAGCATGGACTTGATGCCTAGTGGCCCTTCTTTTCATTAGGGGCAGACTGCTAATAGCCTTGTTCAGAGATGAATAGATCATAATGAAAAATATTATTTACAGAAACAGGTAGGAGCAGTAAAAGTGGGATGTTCCATAATTTATCTGCGGCCGAACAGCGAGAGATGGCTCGGATCGCTCTGATGCATTTACCAGAAACCGCAATCGCTGAGGATCGATACAACACGAAAACGATAAAATTTGTTCGGACAGAGGATTCTCTCACTAAGTCTCCCCCACCAACTAAAACTGAAGTGTTGCCTGCTATGGAGGTGCCAGTAACACAAAAGGTTTGATGTTTGTATGAGATTGTGATGTGAACCACGCATCTGGAATGAATGATATTGGTCTTATGGCTGTTTAATTAATATAACCTTTCCTATATAATCTCCGGTAAGCAGTGTTAGTTAGATATTTCATACGGTACTCGTTGTTATTATAAAGCATAATAGTTTCAAGACTCCAGAATTCAAACTTTTTTGGGTATCATATTCTCAGAGTTTGGGCTTGTGATATTCCTTTTACTGGTTGGAAAAAATAAACTTGACTTGAACTGGCTCACTATTGCCACACTTAATATATGATTTTCATAATTATTCCGACAAAAGAAAGCCGATAAGACGGCTTAATCATAAGATCAATTACAATCAAACTAGACAGAATATTGTTTTTACCTCTGGTCCAAGCCAATGAGAATCCAAAACACCTAACTAGACGAAATAGACCACTGCTGGCAAGGTCATGTTAACTTGAAAAACAAAATTAAATCAGACAAAATCACACTAGACAGAATAATTTTATTTATTTAGACCACAATCCAACAAGAATCGACACCATCGAAACCACCACGCAAGGAGGTGGCTACAGCACAGATCCATGTCCAGGGAGATTCCCCCAGATTACCACAAGGGATGACACTGGGAGAAGCAAAGAAGTTGCTGCAAAAGGAACTAACAGTAAAGGTGAGCTGGCATGGCATTGTGCTAAACTTTTTGAACAGACTTGCTATCAAATCATTGACCCTTGACCCTGAGTGTGTTTGCAGGTTTGAAACTTGCTGAGAATAAGTATGTGTGAGTGGATTGTTCTGTATTTACTATTTTTATTGAAAATGCGAAGCATTTGCTTAACTTGCCGATTGGCACATGCTCCAGATTACCCTTCATTCAGGTTCAAATATTGTGAAAAGAAATTTGTATTGCTGTATGGCTAAGTGATGTATGGTGCGCTAACAAACTTAATCAAAAAGCATAAACGCCCTACAGTCAAAAATTAAAAATTCACGGGTAATTTACTCCAATGCAATGCAACCTTTACAAATGGCATCGGCACTTTGTGAAGGGATTTGCATGGAACTGTCAGATAATTGCTCTGTGACTCTCTAAAAAAGGATAGGATCAACATCAAGAAACACTGATATATATCTTTCTTTGAAGTGAGTCTATAAATAAATAATATGACATATTGACCTTTAACCTTTCACAGATAAAAACCGATGACTCAGGAACCAAGTTTGCAAAAAGAGAAGATGGGTGGAAGGGAACGAGTTTTAATACAGAAGCAGAAAAAGCTAACTTGAGAAATAGCTTTGATGGAACGACAGTCAGAAAGCTGGAACCGAATGGAAGTGCAAAGCATGAAACACATCAAATGGTAGGTTTTGGATTTAACATAAGCTTGGTGAATATTGTACGGTGCTAAGCATTAGAATTCTTGCCATCACACTTCCAGTTAACCGACTTGGTTTGAAGGTTCGAGTTTGGATAAATATGGAAATTCTATCCTACGATCATGCTGTTTTGTTTCCTCTCCTCAGGATAAATATGGAAATCCTAAACCCGTAGATTGTTTGCAACTTAGTAGGACACGACAATATAGCTATGAGTGTGCAATATCAATCTAAAACAGAAAGAATTGTATATTTGATGCTTTCTGTCAATAGGGGAGTATGGAAAGTTTTCTAACTGACAAAGCGAGAAATGAATCAAAAATATTGGAAACCACTTGTAATAGGTCTCCACTTGACTGGGTAGACATTCCCTCCTGTAACTTGTACTATTTATCTTCCAGGATTTGTCTCCCACTGATCTTGATCGCTTCCAAGTGGTTAGGGGATCCATTACAATGCGAGGAGGAAAAGTGATGGTTTTGACTACGAGCCCAGATGGCAAAGAAAAAGCTGAATTCAAGGTATGGGAGATATGCATGATTAATTACACACTTGAAAATTAAGAAAGTAGTTTTTCCATGAGCAGTTGATGACCTTTTAAATAGGGTTGTGGACTCGAAAATTTGAATTTAGAATGTTTTCTCGATATTAAAATCAAAATTGTCATAGCTTGATTCCAAGTTTTGAATTTCCTGAGGTCCCGTTCGAACTTTGAATTTCAGAGTGGATAGTGATAACTGAAGTCAAATTTTTGACTAAAAGCATTAAGCTTATTAAGCATTCTCGGCAAATGCTCAAGGTTTGGGTATCAAAATTCGGTTTTCTAAGAGCTAGAGTCAGATTCAATATTTCAACCTGATTTGGATATTGGAGCAGCAGTTGTTTTTTAATAATTTGGAGTGTGTTGTTTTATGATTTTCCCCCTACATCAAAGTCTCGCCAGTGGTTAGTTGAGTCCCAGTCATTCCATTTTATAGATGTTTCAAATCACTTCGAGCCTAAAGAAATGGCAATTCGAGTCAAGTCAATATATCGAGCCTTCATAACATTGCCATATAGTCATATCATAATTGTGAATAAAGATTGTTTCATGGGCCTTAGAGATTAAACTAGGATTAAATATCACTTTACACTGTATACTCCATATCATCCACTATCCACTGGTATCTCTGACACAAGATTCAAATGGTTGAAAATTTCAATATTTTCAATGTTGCACTCATCACCTGAAGTGATGCTGAGTCCCATAGCTGATATTGTATATACCATATTCCATATTACAATAAGATTGTTCCATAATACTACAGGACCTATACATGTTACATTGTGGTGTAGTTGAGTTTCAATAGGCATATGTGAATTGGTGTTTCTTTTCTTCTTCAGTCAAGAGAAATTATCATTGTTTTGAGTAATTCAAAGTTATCCATTGCTAAGTGGATTCATCATAAACATTTTCATTTTCTTTCATTCCTAACAATCATTCAGGTTATTAGAACTCGCCAAACTGGCTCCCCTCTGTTTCCGCCTGCTCCTGTATTGAACACTCAATAATATACCAAGGTTTGATAGGTCATGCATCATTAACCATAGGGTCAGAGTTCAGTTCTTTCCTAATTGTAATTTTAACCTAATTTTTAGAAAGCTATAAATCTGTGTGTCAACAATTTTGTTCATGTGAAATTCAATTTTAATTATTTTATGTGGATTCAAAAAATCTAAGTTTTTTTGACAAAATTGTCACAAAACAGTAACATTGCCTGATCGTAACTTTGCTCACAAAGATGAAGTTCTCCTACATTATGAGTGACTGTGCCACCATAATTTATACATTTTCAGTAGCATTTGAAGTTTTAGTGGTCACCCTTAACTCAGAGATGAGGATCCTTTAGTTTTCTTATCATTCATTTAACTTAAACCCAGAAATAAGTCTCCTTCACTTCTGAGTGAGATCACATAACTTTTCTCTGAGATGACTCTCCTTTACTTTTGAGTGAGTGCCCATAACTTTGCTTAAAGATGAGTCTCCTTCACTTCTGAGAGAGTGCCCGTAACTTTGCCAAGAGATGATTCCCCTTTACCTCTGAGTGAGTGCCCATAACTTTGCTTAGAGTTGAGTTTCTTTTATGTCTCAGTGAGTGCCCGTAACTTTGCTCAGAGATGAGTCTCCTTTATGTCTGAGTGAGTGCCTGTAACTTTGCTCAGAGATGAGTCATTTTTACTTCTGAGTGACTGCCCGTAACTTTGCAAAGTGATGAGTCTCCTTCACTTCTGTGTGAGATCACATAACTTTTCTCTGAGATGACTCGCCTTTACTTCTGAGCGAATTCCCGTAACCTTGCTCAGAGATGAGTCTAGTTTACTTCTACTTTACTTAAAGATGAGTCTTCTTTACTTCTTAGTGAATGCCTGTGACTTTCCCCAGAGATAATATCCTTTTTTTATCACTGAGTGCACGTAACTTTGCTCAGAGATGAGTCTCTTGAGTGCCCGTAACTTTGCCAAAGGATGAGTCTCCTTTACTTTCGAGTGAGTGCTCTTAAGTTTGCCAAAAGATGAGTCTCCTTTACTTCTGAGTGAGTGCGCTTAAGTTTGCCAAGACATGAGTTTTTTTTACTTCTGAGTGAGTGTTCGTAACTTTGCTCAAAGATGAGTCGCCCTCACTTCTGAGTGAGCGACGGTGTGAGTAAATTTTTTCCTAATAGAACTAATTTTAGACCAAGAACTGAACTCTGCTGTTAATTCTTCATAACATTCACTTGTGTGATGCATCAGCTCAACAAAGCAATTTACTAACCTGTAGTTAGATAGACTTTAATTATTTTTGTCATTTTCAATATTTTTTCTTATATTAGTCATTTTGTAAGTGGTTTTGTAATATTTCTAGTTTTAACAGGCTAGTAACTCTCTATTGAGATCTTTTTAAATCTGTAATACGTTCATATTTGTGTTCAATTTTTTAATTTATATTTGGAGAAGGGTCATATTTTTTAAATTAAAAGTCAGGACTCAATGCTTGGTGCTATGGTGCATCGTGCCAAGCGTTAGGAATTCACTGATCACAGCATCTTTGATCGCCTTGCGTAGGTTAGAACCTCGTAGCAGATCATTTTCTAAGAGAGGATTGCTGGAACTGCTTGATAGACACAGCTTTCTCCACCACCAGGTCTGGAACAAATAACTGGCTAATCCCACACCTGACATGAACTGGCGACCTGACAAGAGGCCTTGGTTCGCCATATGATTAAGTCGTCTTATCGGCTTTCTTCTTACCAGAATAAATATGTAAATCTCACCCTATCTTATCGATTGTGAATATCTCAGATTTCATAACTCTGCTCTTCACATCAAAAAAATGTGCAATGCAGGTAAGAAAAAAATTATATTTATACAAATTTTTTTTTCAGGACATCTGAAGACAAAGACAAGATGCTGAAATATTTTTGTGAAATTTTTATTTATTTTTCATCAATATCCACATTTTATATATTTCGTTCAAAAATTGTGCATGGTACAAGATAAAGTAGAACTGTGCAAGCTAAGCATGGTGGGATAAGGACATTTATCCTGAGGGAAATGGATCTTACCAAAACGGCATATTCATGGGATAAAATTTTTTGATAGGAAGCTGATAAGTTGGCTTAATCACACATATATTTAGTCTGTAGGAAAGGAAGTTTGATAAGATGGTTTATTAATTGGTCACATTTATTTCAATCAATTAGTCACATTTAATCCTTGAGAAAAGAAAGACGATAAGATGGCTTATTCATACAAAAACGTTAGGCATCCATATTACCTTTCTCTTTTGCAATTTGCCTTCCCGCAAATGCTAAATCCATCAGTAGAAAGCTTTTGGTTTCTAATCGTAGAAATCCAGCTGTCTAAATGTATATATTCGCATGTGGCTTACTGAAGTATTTTGATATAAAACTTTCCCATACTTATCAAATTGCATATTTTCCAAATACCCACCATATTCAAAAACACCCAATATAAATACCATTTTTTGTATCTATATACCATTTTTACATTAATTTTGAGTCCTAAACGGTACAGAAAGATATTTTTTAAATTTGTATTCTTTATTTTTAATTTTTTAAAGAAATTATTTTGAGAAGTTGTTTAATTGTATCGTATATCTTTAAAAGAAATTCAAAATTTAAAAATATTTTGCTAATCTGCTCCTGTTGTACCAGGTTAGGGTAAGGCTATAATTTCATTCCGTATTTTAGTTCTATTAAGAGTTCGGGGACTGTAGTCTTAGCCAAGTGAATATAACCCTCTGCCCATAGGTTTCAGTCCCTTTGCACAACTTGATGTGAAATAGGCGAACAAAATTAGTTGCCTCGATATTGGTACACACACTTCTGGAGCGCTTCATTATAATAATCGCTTATGGCTCCCATTGCAAGTGAAGACATCCCTTCCCACTTCTCTGGCGAGGGACAATAAATAATGCTGCCAGGGAACTCATTAACTCTTAGGTTTATTATATTGTCACCATATTTGCACTTTTATATTCAACTTTGCACAAATCGTTTATTTCTTCAACTTTTTTTTCTTAAGTGCCATTTTATCATTAAAATCATCTGTATATTTTATAATTATATCTTTATTCTCCTCATGAGATTTAATCTTTATCTCGGGAGAAGAAAACCTATAAGACGGCTTAATTATATGATAGGATTTTCATAGTTATTCGTGAGGAAAGGAAAGCTGGTGAACTTGATCTTATGACGAACCACGGCCTCTAGTTCGTTTACCAGTCTAGGTGAGTCAAAGTCTGGTGAGATATTTTCAAAGAGTATCCCTCTTCATTGGATGACAAGCATGTTCCAAAAGCTGGACTTAAAAACTGGGTACTCCTGAAGTATTTGAACCAAGATGGCAGACACCGGAACGTAGTATGTGTACCAGGTTAGGGTTAGGCCATAATTTCAGGTACAAATACTATGGGAGTCACTTGGCTAGCTCCCAAAAATGTGATAAAATTAAAATGAGGAAAATTGGAATAATTAACCTGGTACACATACTACATTCCGGTGTTCGCCATCTTGGTTCACATACTTAAGGAGCACCAAAAGGAAAGCGGGTGACCTTATGACGAACCACGACCTCTAGTTCGTCTCGATGAGTCAAGTCTGGCGAGATTTTTTCAAGCGTATCCCCCTTCCCTGCATATTCCAAAAGCTGGAATCAAAAATTCAGTAATATATGTATCATTTGCTTGGTAGCTTTGTTTGTTTACTAATATAACAAGCCTCCTTTTTCATCATATTTTTCGAAATTAGGGTTTTTTCTGGCTGTGTACAACTGTATTCTATATGCCACTTAGCTAGGTTTCCGACCATGAACCGTGGCATAAGAACCATGCTAAACTATAGATGTATTACAAGTAAATCAGAGATATCAATTCCTGTGAAAACAAAATTGTTGTAAAATGCTTGTCTGGAGAATTCAGAGTAAACGCTACAGCAGTTATGCAGCAAGACTATTAAATCAAATACTACAAAAGTTTTGATAACATCATACGATTGTAAGACTTCTGCTTACTGTAGATAATTAATGTCATCTAAAATTTCATGTTTGAATAATTTTTCACTTTCACATTTATACTGTTTATTAATGCCGGGTAGCTTTGCAATTCAGTAATTTCTGTGATATTTCAATTAAAACCGTGAAGTGTACAGTATTGTGTGTTGAGTACCCTAACAGTGGAATAGGTATTTTATATTTATTCAGAGAAGAGCCGATAAGGTGGTTTAATCAAATTTTAGAATTACCATATTCATCCTTGGGAGAGAAAACCTGGTTGATAACCACAGATTTAAGCCAAGTCATTGCGCTACCGTGTCATAATTTGTGTTATTTCACAGGGAACATCAATTGTTGTGAATGTATATAGCTCAATTTGAGGCGCTCCAGAAGTATGTGTACCAATATGGAGGTAACTAATTTTGTTCGCCTACTTTACATCAAGTTGTGTAAAGGGACTGAAACCTTTGGGCAGGGGGTATATTCACCTGGCTAACACAGACAGTCCCGAACTCGTAATAGAATTAAAATGAGGAAAATCAGAATAAAATTACGGCATAACCATAACATGCTACAAATACTACAGGAGTACCCATTTTGAAAAAAAAAACTTGCTCTTTTGAATAAATGTAATTTTTAAAAATTAATCGGTGCTATTTGATCTCAACGGTTGTGTAATCTCATTTGATCGTAGTTAAGATTAGGAATTGAATTCTATGAGAATGTATTTATGAGATTAAATTCATACCAAAGTGGCAACAAGATTGGTCCACTTTTATGCAATTGAGATCATGTTAAGCATGTGATATCGCATACACCTATTAAAATGGTGTCAGTAATACAAGGTATTGACGCCCTGAGAGATTGAGATTTCGTTTATATTAATGTGTAGGATAATAAACTGTCGACCAAATTTTCCTGAGTGAGACTAAATTCACACCACCAATGTGGGACTGTTCTCAAAATAGGCGACAAATATACAGTGTTTACAAAATCAAGACTTCGAACAAATAACCATTTGTCATCGCTCGACTTCTCCTAGAATCTTTGTTACCATACTGTGCTTGATGTAACAACCATGGGACGCCAAGGACTTTCTCAGTCATCCAAATGAGACAAATAAATGAACATTTTCATACTCGAATAAATTGCTCATTCTCTGGAAACAGAGAACTGCCACCAACCAATTTTGCTAACAACAATTATTCACAAACCACCATCTCTTGGTTATGGATTAGTTTGACCCATTTGACAAATACACTAAGTTTACAAGGTCATACGAACAACCATTTGTCATTGTTCAAACCAGACTCGAAACGACTTCCGCTAGAAACTTAGTCACCACAATGTGGTAACCCTGGGATGCCAAGGACTTACCTCCACCATTCAATTGAGACTATTACCGTATAGGACTATTGTCATATTCAACTGAATTGCTCAATTTCTGGAACTGCCACCAACCAATATTGACCTCTCACTCACCATCAATAACTCGCTAGGAAAAAAAGAGTGTCGTATGTCAGAATTGCATTGTAATGATATGGCTTCAAGAAAATAAATGGAGGATTCAACCTGCAGTGGACAATTAAAAAAAACAAGTAGCAGCAATTTAAAATTTTTGTTTGAACCGATTCGAATGATTTATCATTCGATTTAAAATGCCCAGCCCAAGTTATCACTCAAAGAACTATTAACCACTGTCAAAAAAAGACTTGAAATAATGAAGAAACACCTCCGCTGGACTCCTTGCTGTTACAAAATGGTTCCTGTGGCCATCGGTTGGTTATGATCTCCTCCACCATCCAAATCCATGCAACCGGTACAATAAACTGCTTAATATGATTTTAAGAACTGCTAACCAATTGACTAACACACATGAAATATAACAAAGAATCCTTCACTCTCAAATTCACTTTATTTACAATTATGTCATTTTTTTAAAATGCGACAAAAACACGATTCAGGCAAAGAAATTGTTAGAGATGGTTTTGCAAGCAAAGCTTCAATACAAAGTTAATTGTTCCCAATTTTTTAAGTAACTTTCTTAAAAGCCATTTATGAGATGTTTACACTTTCACTAAGTTTTTTTTTCTAATTGTTCCCAAAGCAAGGTGACACAAACAGGAAACTTATAGAATCTTTTCATTACTCTTTCATTACTATCAAAATCCAGTATAGAAAGGACATGCAAATAGGCAAGCAAGCCAGTGAAGTGTCTGAATGAGGCAAACGCTACAAAAATGGACTCAATATAAAGAAAAATTGGTTAAAAAATATAATAGCAAGGAGAGAAACACACACAAATTTCGCTTGAGAAGGGGGTAATAAAGTTACAACAAATCCAAAAATGGGTCTCTCTGCAGGCTCGCAAAAGTGTATTTGAAAAAAAAAACTAAGCGGCTTGAAAAATTGGGTAAAAGATATAACATTGCTGAGTAATTAAGTCCCAACTCAAATGGGAAAAAACTACGATGGTATGAGAAATTTGTTAAAAAATATAGCAGAAAAAAGAAGAATATATACAAAATTTTGCTCAAAAGGTTTTTTTAAGTTCCAACAAATCCAGAAATGGAAATTCAGTTTATTATTTCAGACATTAGACGACCTTAGCAACATGCAAAACAGCTGATGACTAGAGCTATATTTGACACTTGGAAAATTGTTCATTAGATTCAAGTAAAGCAAGTCATGTTAATGCAGCTCATGTAGTGCTGCAGTTTCTTATAAAGCTCAATTTCCAAACTATTTTCCAAATTCTTCAGGAAAATTGTTGAAAAGTATAAGAATTGGAAGTCTGACTCTGACTTTTTGACTATGTGAGTGTTTATTAGGAACAGAATAAATAACAGATTTTGAATCCCATAATTGGTTTAATTTCAAGAGGAGAAGTAAATGACATTACAGTAAATCTCACACAAAAACAAATTTGGAAGCGTCATGCAGCAAAAATAGAAATAGGTTTTACAAAATGAGGAAATGTATAAAATGCGATTCTGGACATTGCTTTTTCAGCCGAATTGGAAATGGAATTCTCCTGGTCCACCTAAAAGAAAGAAGATAATGAGGTGGTATCACACAGTATTAGGGGGGGCTTGGGCCAACGATTCGGCTCCTGTATCATCACCAAGACTTGTTGCGACTTGGATCGTCAACTAATCCTGGGCTCTCCAAATTCATTGATGGAGTATAAACAATGCAGATATTAAATGCCTAAATATTGCTGTATTGAGCCAAGTTTGTAGTGAAAGGGCGAGACCATCTCATTAAGTATGGACAGCTTTCAAAAACTAATTTTTTTGGTGCTTCTTAAGTATGTGCATCAAGATGTCGCACAACCTGAATCCTAACCGATACACAAATACTATGCTCAGGTTGTGCGACATCTTGGTGCACACAATCCAGAAGTAAACAGGATAGGCATGTACTTTTGAAGTCCGCCAAAATGCACTGTATTGGTTTTTCAGGCAAAAAATTTACTTACCTCCTCCACCACCTGGAAAATGGAATCCACCCCCGGGTCCCCCTCCCCCGAAAAACATCTGAAAAATGTTTGAGGCATCAAAATCTCCCATTGATGGCCCGTCAATATCTTCGCCTCTGTCATAACGATCCCTGTAATAAGAGAATGAACAAAATTAACGATGTGAAATGTCTCGTTCCCGGGAACTAGAAAACATTCCATGGAAGAGAGAGAGCTAAAAAAGATAATCCCTGGAAGAAGAGAATATTTATTGACGCGAAATTTTTTTTTCGTTTCAGGGACAAGTTATACAAATATCTTTGTGAGGAGAGAGAGAGAATACAATTATTAAAACATGTCTCCCGTTTTGAGCACTAATCTGGATAAATTATCCCCGGAGTACGTAAATGAATACAGTAATAGGTAAAAATCTCTCGATTCAGGGACCCACTGTGTAAGACGAGTTTTAATAAAATTGGTGCCAAAAAATTTCTCATCCAAGATAATAAGCTATACGGACTCTAGAAGAGAAGGAATAAAATTAGTTGTGATATTGCCTACTTTGGAATCACCGAATTACCTTTAATCTAGACTCCCAACATACAGGGTGTCCATAAAGTCCCTTTACAATTTCAATTTTGTTAGGAAGTCAGTTCTCTAAATATCTCAACCAGGTTTGTTGTTTTTCAATCAGTAATTGTTCAAGTATTTTTACTTCTTAATACATATGTGAGGATATGTGAGGGTCAAATCAATATATCTTATCTATAATTCCTTTTGCACCCTATATGACAAAACACTCACTTTTTCTTGGGATCACTCAGAACAGCGAATGCCTCCCCGCACTCTTTGAATTTCCTCTCTTCTTCCTTCTGAACTTCCTCAGAATCATGTGAGTGACGATCTACAATATAATACGAGTGTGAGAGGTTAAGTGAGTAGATTGAAAATACTCAGAATGACCATCTAAAACAGTGGTTCCCAACCTTTCCTGGCTCATGGCCCCCTTTCGGAGGCTTTTAGCACTCGTGGCCCGCTGTTTATCATTCCAGTGGAATTTATAGTGTTTTTTGATTGTTCAAATCCAAATCCCATTATGTCCAAATAATTCGTGCTCACCTAGGTGAAAACACCCTGTGAAATAACCTTATCAAGCAATGGAACTGGGAAGAACTGTGACTTATCTGTAGTCTCATTGGTGGGCCCTTTGCCCCCAGTCAGAAACCGATGATCTACGATAATTAAAGAATTTTGCTCCAGACAAGGCTGCAAAGTAACCACTGTTATTTGGAAGAATCAGAATCTTCTGGTTCGACATTGCCAACTCAGTTTATTTTATCCTAAGTAAGCATGGGCTTTGAATCTGTGATGTGTAAATTGTGACGGCAACGAAGTAAATTCTAACAAGACCAGAAAGACTATCAAACATCACATTCATATATGTTTCTCAAACTGTGTTCCGCGGAACAGCAGTGAGCTTCTTCAGAGTGTTCGAAATTGCGACTTAATTTTATTTTTACCACAAACTAAATTTTTTTGGAAACCTTCCTTTTCAATGGATGCTGTGATAAGCCGGCTTTGCAATTTGATGCAGAAAGTAAATCCGTTATACAATTTCACCTTTTAATTACTTGGTGTCCCGCGAAATAAAAAGCGACAGGTTTTGTGCGCTGATATATAGTGTAGGTTGAGTATTACAAATTATTCACACCCATGGAAGACTCACCGGGATGATGCAGTAAAGCCCGCTTCTTGTATGCTTTCTTCAGTTCTGGCTCTGATGCGTCTTTCCCGACTCCCAGTATCTTGTAATAATCTTTCCTTTGACTCATTTTCAATCTTTTCTCAGCTTCATCAACATGACGTTTGTGTTCTGACAAAAAATCAAAACTCAAATTAAAAACAGGAAATGAATTCTGGGATCTTAACAGTAATACAATATACACATGATTGGCAGTTGTGTTGTATTCGATTCGCTAATCGTTATTCGAATATTTGGTACTCCCGTAGTATGTGTACCAACATGACGTTTGTGTTCTGACAAAAAATTAAAACTCAAAGTAAAAACATTATATAGAGGGAGTATTTCAGTGAATGAAAGAATTGAATTCTGGGGTCTTTATATTGTTATTGGCCGCTAGAAAAATAGAAACTTTGTCAAACAGCTATTTTTCTTACAGGGAAAAACTTTTACAAACATTTTTGAAGGCATGTGTTATATAAAAATAAAACACACATAGAAATCAAATATATAGAAATCAAATATGAATCTTGAAGGTATCAACCTAGAACCTACAAAAAAAAAAATGAGCGTGCACGCATTTTATTCGTGATCTCATGTGACCATCAAGTTTTCTACTTTTCTAGCATAACTCTGTACATGCGAAATGCACATTCGAATCTCGATTCGCTATTCAAATATTTTGCTCAGTAAAACTCATCTCTGAGCTAAATTACGACAAACCAAAGAAATGGCTAAAGTTAATAATAATATGGAGATATACGGTGATGCATTACGTAAACTGATTCAGGAGTAAAGAAGACTCATCTCTGAGAAAAGTTATGTATGACCACTGGAATGCCAAAAGATACTAAAACTGTTCACGGTGGTGAATTACATGCACGTTCACTCAAAATGGTAAGAGCTACTGAAACTATATAGAATGATAGTGATTTATTACATATTGATAACTGCAATCAACAAAAACAACGAAAATTGTCCCTAGTTGTGGGCCACTACTGTACAGAAAATACACACAATGCTTATAGCCGCAAATATACAATGTATGAGATGTCTCCTCACCTCTGGTCTTTTCCATTTGAAACACTTTCTTGTAATCTCTCAAGGCTTCTTCAAATTGTTCCTCAGCAGTGCACCTGGAAGGAGTTAATGAATATGATTTCATATTCATTACAGGGGAGAGGAAAACCAATCAGATGGCTTATTTTAACAGCATACAACGGCCTCTCGTCCGTTTACCAGTCCATGTTCAAGTATGGGTATAGCTATTCGTTTTGGATGCATGGACTTTAAGAATAGATGGCATGGAAAGGCTTTGCCCAAAAACAAAGAAAGGCCTTCACCGATCACCATTCGTGATGATATGAGACTATGACCCACTCATTCTTTTGATGTGTTTCTTATTATTTAACACACAATACAATTCTTTCGGATCTCGCTGTCCAGTTGTGGCGCTTGTAGCTATGTTTATGAGAGAAGTTTCGTAAAACATTATGTCATGACACTCCACAAAACTTATTTTTCAAAAAATTTGGGTCGCTTGAAAAAAAAAGTTTGGGGACCACTGCTCCAATAGAGGGAAGGCAGAACAATGAATACTCACAGCTGTGCTCTCTTCAAATAAGCTTTCACATATCTTTCATCCAATTCTATGGCCACATTGCAGTCTGCTATGGCTTGAGTGTTCTTGCCAAGCTGAAAAAATAATTAGTCATGAAAGATAACACTCTCTACTGGTTTAGGTTTCAGACCAGGGCTCCCCAAAGTCTATAAAAGTACAATAGATATACATATTACTTTTTGTGAAATTAGTGTACTTCTTGCGGCCCCTAAAATTCTTCACATGAACCCCGTTTAGACCCCTAGTTTTAGACCATGATGACATTGCAGGTTGAAAATCCTATGATTATTATAATTTTTGTGCTTAATGTTCTAAATACCCAGGTGTGGTGTGAAAATAACATTGTTGTTTATTTTTGCCCTCTTGATGACCCAAGCTGTGGAGTTGTAATATTTAAACTGAAATGTCAAAACTTTGTCTTTATTTCAGACTTTCAATGGTGATAAAATAAGTCAAAATTGTTTACTACTTCCCTATAGTGGCTTGCATACACCAAAATCAGTTTTTTTCAGAGTTGAAAGTTGGATCCCAAATTTTTTTTTTTTCAGGCTGGAATCGGGAAAATTCTCTCCTCGGCTACATAGCAATAAATCCTATCAGAGCAAAACGGAAAAACGACCTAACCTACCTTTGAAGCTACCAAAGCTCGATTGTATCTCAACTTGGCGTTGGTTTTGATATTATTGTCATCGATGAGTAACGCCTCCCCATAAAATTCCAACGCTTCGTTAAATCTTCCATTTTTATACGCTTCATTGCCTTCTTCTTTCTTTGCCGCCAAAGCTTTGGCTTTCTAAAATAAAAAAAGAACTTGATTATTTGACTTTGAAGGTCAAACCAAGGTCACAATGGTCTTTATTTGACTATACTGAGATTCAACATAGATTGAATTAAGGCCACTGAGTCCCAATGACCTTGAATCGCAGCTCAAGGTCACAAACTCATAAGAAAAATGGAACTCTATACATTCATTGGACAATCAGCCAGCAGTGGTAATTTATCCAGAGCATGGTTCAGAGTGAAAATGCCATGATAGTGAGTTACTGCAGATTAGTGACTGCTTGTTAGGGGGGACAAGCAAGCAGGGTGTGGGTGTGGTTCTCAAATGGGTGGGGGTGTGCCCCACTAGGGGGACGGACGTAGTAAATTTTTCCAGGGGCAGAGAAGTCAATCAAAAATAAAAATAGTTGTTAGATTTGATCTTGCACGCTCTATTTTAAATATTCACATTTCTTTATTTTGTATATTGATGTCAGATTCACATAATATTTTCAACCTGTTATTTGAATAGAACCCATTTTCTCTTTACTATCTGTCATTTGTAGCTTATTGTTAGCTAGATATCTTGAGGTGGGGCACGAGACTTGACAAGTTCTAAAAAGGGTGCGGCTTAAAAAGTTTAAGAACTACTGATATAAAGTGAGGTGCTAGTGAGGTGAACTGTGGGCGAAGCAACCTACTACAAATCAGAGGCTGCTTATCCAGAGTTCAGAGTAAGGTGTGGACATGTTGACACTATATATAAAAAAAAAAATCTTGTTTGAAGCCAGGTTCAGAGAAAAAATAAGGCTGTGTCAGCTTTCTTCAATTCAGTGGCCACTTGTCTAGAGCCTCGTTTGGAGTAAAATTGTGGGCGCTCCAGAAGTATGTGGATCAATACGAAGGTAACTAATTTTGCTTGCCTATTTTACATCAAGTTGTGTGAAAGGACTGAAACCTGTGTATTCACTTGGCTAACACAGACAGTCCCCGAACTCGGAAAACCATTATGGTCTAACCTGGTACACATACTACGGGAGTAACAAATTGTGCACATAGTAGCTCATTACATTCAGTTCCAAGCCTTGTTCGTAGATGAGATTTAAAAAAAACTTGGAAAAAACATACAAAACAAACCTTCAATGTTAATCTTGCTTTCTCCAAGTCAGGTGAGAGCTTCAAAGCTTGAATGAAAAACTTCACAGCTTTGTCAATGTTGTCGTCGTAATATAAGCAAAGAGCACGAACGTAAACTGCGTCTGCGTTGTTGACATCTATCTGGAGTGCGTCCCTGGGGGGAATAGAAAAAAAGTTCATTCTAAATGTTAATCACCTCCCCATTTAGGAAAAAATTGATAGTTTGGAAATTGAGTATTTGAGAGTCAATCAGGATCAGCATTTCCTAATGTGTACTGCACAACCACAGAGCTGTTATTAGTTTCAGTGTCTCTTGGTATATTAGTAGTCAGTCGCTCATTACTTTGATCAGAGATGAGTCTCCTTAATCTCTGAGCGAATGTGTACAAAACATTGTCATAATCTCATGAGCTTCAGTAGCTTTAAGTATCTGATAGGCTTTGCATAACTTTGCTCAAAGATATGTCTCATTTTCTCCGGGTAAGTATGTGTAATGCCCTATGATAATTCTGTATGAATACTGTAGCCATGGGCATTTCAGTGATTGCCCGTAACTTTGATCTGTTATGAATCTTCTTTACTTATGAGTAAGCGTGCGTAATGCCCCATCAAAACTCTGATTTGGTTTTGGTTTCTCTGTGAATTTGGTGATTGCCTGTTACATTGCTCAGGGATAAGTCGCTTTTAATACTGAGTGAACTATTGGCATTTCAGTGGTGGATTTTATCTTTGCTCAAAAATGAGTTTATTTACCTCATAAGCAAGCGGGTGTGGCATGGCATTCCTTATAACAAATTAGGAAAAGCGTTTCATTTTGTACAATACTCGAACAGTTTGAATAAGAGTTGTAGCATATTTGCTGATATTCAAAGTTCAGGCTGCAGAAATTTGGAAATAAGATGAAAAATATCCCAGTACTGACTTACATAGCAATGCTCTGGGCTTCATCGTATCTTCCAAGCAAGGCCAGGCATTCAGCTTTCTTCATTTTATAGGGCATACAGGCAACTGCAACGTGTGATGCTCGGTCCATACAAAATACAACCTTGGAAAAAAGAAAAATCAGAACAGGCAATTTAGGCGAATGGTTTTAGCAATATATTCTCTGAATTAGACCCAGGTCACATAAAAGTCAGAAAAAGACTTTAAAAACGACTTTTTTACAAGTCAGTTACAATTTTTCAGAGAGTAAATATAATAAAAAAATAATAAATAAAATAAAAAAAATTGCCTGGTGGCTTAAAAGTTATGCCTCGCAGGCATGAAACCTCAAACCGTGTGCCCCCTACCACACCTAGAGTACAATACACAGGAAGATTTTAGAGTCCTTCAATAATATAGTAGCACCTCACATATTTGCTATTACATGTTACAGAGCCCCAGATCAGAGTGAAAGACAACATAGCCTTACGAGAGTGACACTTCGCCTGTTCTTCTGCTCCTTAATTTTAGTTCAAGTCGGACTTGTGAATAAAAATTTGAAAATACAACTTCAAGGCTGTCTCCAATCGCAGAATTAAGGACACCAATCATAAGTTGAGATTGTCCCCATATTTTGTTAAACAAGTTCTCGACTTACCTGTCTGAAATCCCTTTTATTCCAGCATTCATCGGCTTTTCTTTCATATTCAGTTAAAATTCTGGCATACTGAACCTGGAACAAAGAAATTAGGAAAACATGAATAGACTTAATTCACTTTAGCATGGCGGGCTTCAACCAAAGACAGTACAATCCAGGGTTCCGCAAATTTGCATAAAAATAATTCAATACCCACTAGGTTTGCCACTATTATTAAACTTGCCATGCTTTTTAGATACCATTTCATTGTACCAGTATTAGGTTTGCTTTTATATATTCATAGTTCAGACAATAAAAGACAATTAAACAACATGATAGATCCTCTGTAAAGATTCATTTGGGTTTCGCTTCACCAAAAGATAGAAAAGTACCGTCCACAATATCGTGTAATATTTTTGAACCAACAATCTAACCCAGCGTTTCCCAAAGTATGTGTACCAGGTTAGAGTTAGGACAATTTTATTCCAATTTCCCTTATTTCAGTTCTATTACGAGTTCAGGGACTAGCCAAGTGACTCCCGTGGTATGTGTACCTGAAATTATGGCCTAACCCTAACCTGGTACACAAACTACGTTCCTATGTCCACCATCTTGGTTCACATACTACGGGAGTATCGAATAAACTTATTTGAAGCTTCAATTTTTTACAATTGTGCCACGAAATTTGTTCATGTTTTTTGTTTACACTGCGGGCAAAAAAAGTTTGAGAACCACTGAAGCACCGGTTCTATTTTTGGTTTAGACTTATTCACTTCAGGTGTTCCTCGAGTCTTTGGAATGTTTTATCGGGGTTTTGCTCCACCAGAAGGTTGAAAACCACTACAATAGGAGTCTTAACTTAGTGACTGAGTCGACTTCAGACTCAAAGCTTAGTTGAACCGTGAATTAACAGTAGACCATGAAAGAAGAACCAGTTATAACATTATGCTTTTATTCGCTTGTCAAATAAGCAAAAATTCTGTTTATAACAGTGTGGTATCAACAAATAAAGGAGTCATGCATAATAAAATAACAACTAAAATATTTAAAACAAATTCAACAATATATATGATGTACATTGATCACAAATTGATATCCAAATACTTTGGTATCCAGTAACTATGTTTTGCAATTTATTTGAACTCGAATATTCTATAGTTTATAGAAAAAACATGATATAAGGTGGAAATCACAGACAAATCTCCAATATTCATCAATCCCCCATGAATGTCCTCTCATATACTCAGGTCACACATTAATAATGGTCCCTCGTATTCTCAAGTTAAGCATCAAAGTTCTGTCATATGCACGGGCCATGCATCAATGTTCTGTCATTCACACAGGTCACGCACACATCAATGTAATCTCATACGCATAAGTCACGCATCAATGCTCTCTCTCATATTCACATGTCACACATCAATGTTCTCTCATATTCGCAGGTCACACATCAACATTCTCTCAGATCCCAGGTCATGCAACAATGCTCTCTTTTATCTTCTGTATCTCCTCATAGCTCCTATACTTTCCATCTCTGCATCTGATCCATTTATTTCTACTCTTTACTTCACCAACAGGCAGTTTACCTCGCGCTTCTCGTTCTGAGCGTTCTCTGTAAGAATATCAAGTTGAGAACCTTTTTGCCGTGTGAGATAGGTGGATAGATAAGGTATTATGGGTGATATATGTAGATGTAGTATAGATGAAATAAAAGTGTTAGATATACACAGGATAAACAATGTGAATCAGATAGCATATATAGATAAGGTAGGTAATGTGAGATAAGAAGGATAGATTAGATTATATAGGGTAGATAGCAAGATAAGACATTTAACAATAACCAGATGGGATACCTCATTATATTATCAAGCTATCTCTCCTATACTGAAACAATTTGAAAAACATCCTGTTTTTATTAAATATGAAATGCTGAAAATTTCTGCCTATGACACAAGCAATAGTGACGGTGTGAAAAAAATTCAGAGTTGGGCATATTTGCTTTGAATGAGGAACAGATCCAAGCTGCATTCTCACCTGAAGTCTCTCTCAATCTCTTTTCCTATAGCCTGCATTATTTTGTCCATTCCTTCCGATGCCAACTCTTTCATTTCGGCTAGAATTTCTTCGCTAGATGGCGGCAATGCACTCTCCCATTCTTGGTACTGGAGTAGGCAACGTTAAGTTAGGCACAATATTGGGAGGAGCAAGTCTTTCAAGCATTTGACAAAACCTCACTCTTCATGCTAACCACATGCAGTACAACACAAATCAGAAAGAAACTCTTTCGTACAACTTAAGTTCCAAACTCGAAGCCGTCTAAATACAACCAAACATCTTTCTATCTTAATACAACCAAAGACACCTGCCATCTTAACACAACCAAATACTTTCCCATCTTAATACAACTCAATACCCTCCCTTCTTAATACAACCAAATACCCTCCCATCTTAATACAACCAAAGACACCTGCCATCTTAATACAACCAAACACCCTCCCATCTTAATTCAATCAAAGACACCTGTCATCTTAATACAACCAAATACCCTCCTATCTTAATACAACCAAAGACACCTGCCATCTTAATACAACCCAATACCCTCCCATCTTAATACAACCAAATACCCGCCCATCTTAATACAACCAAAGACACCTGCCATCTTAATACAACTCAATACCCTCCCTTCTTAATACAACCAAACACCCTCCCATCTTAATACAACCAAAGACACCTGCCATCTTAATACAACCCAATACCCTCCCATCTTAATACAACCAAACACCCTCCCATCTTAATACAACCAAAGACACCTGCCATCTTAATACAACTCAATACTTTCCCATCTTAATACAACCAAAAACCCTCCCATCTTAATACAACCAAAGACACCTGCCATCTTAATACAACCAAATACCCTCCCATCTTAATACAACCAAAGACACCTGCCATCTTAATACAACCAAACACCCTCCCATCTTAATTCAATCAAAGACACCTGCCTTCTTAATACGACCAAACACCCTCCCATCTTAATACAACCAAAGACGTCTGCCATCTTAATACAACCAAATACCCTCCCATCTTAATTCAACCAAAGACACCTGTCATCTTAATACAACCAAACACTTTCCCATCTTAATACAACCAAATATCTTCCTATCTTAATACAACCAAATACCATCCTATCTTAATACAACCAAACACCCCCCATCTTAATACAACCAAATAATGTAATTATATAATTTTGTCTATTGGAAAAATTAGGATTAAGTTTGCTTACCCGTGCCGTAATACAACCAAATACCAAATTCCTTACTGGTAAAATAAAAATGCCCACTATGCAGAGTATGGTATTCTATTCATAATATAAAATAACGCGCACAAGCAAAGTATCGCTTTCCTCACTGAGTATTGGATCAATTGCTTTGAAATTTTAAGTGATTAAGTTTGTATATTTCAGTATTACGCAAGTGTCTGTTACTTTCATTCATTACAAAAATTTCTGTAGGATCTATGGGATTCATTTTCTGTGTGCGATGTCATCATCAAAATAAAAAATTGTGCACCCCATGGCGGTTCCGTGTACGCATGGTCAGGTGAAGTCGAGAGATTGCGTTCCCGTACTACTTTATTTTGGCCTTGATGTCCATATATTCGAGCATTGCTTTCTTTATTAGAATATACTCAATTTCATATTCGGAATTGACCATCCGTGGCATCCACAATACAAAAAAACATGCATTAGAGGGACAAGACAGACTGGGCAACCCACCTCTTGCATTATAGCTCCGGCACTTGGATCGAGATCTTTGGCTTTTTGTAACGAGAGAAGAGCTGCTTTGGAATTGCCAAGTGCAATATGACATTTGCCTTCACGAAGATAACCCTAAGAAAGAAAGAAAATTGTATGTTCTTATTTATGAAGCACCTATAAATTGTCTTATAAAAGTTTTGTCATTACACAAATATTTTTCTATACAAGGATTGTCCCGAGTTCTACATCTACCCAATGAATTATAAATTGTTACTTGTTATTTGGAAAGACCGAACATTTGCGAATTCACGTATCTTGATAGCATTCCTCTCCCCGAGTATAAATTCACAAAATGATATCTAACTGCAACATTTTCCAAACCCAACCTGAACTGATATATCGGCCTTGTTTTTCCCAAATTTCGAACTAACGGTATCGGCTAAATTTACCGATAGTTATCATTATCAGTCAATCAAGTGACTGCCAAAGTGTCAAAATTACGCAGGGAAACATCGGTATCGGCTTATCAGCCTAGTTTTAGAAAACCATCGGTATCGGTTTAAAAAGGCAGTATCGGTCGGGCCATAGTATTTAGTATTATTTTAATACCTGTATTTAGGAGCGCACAAATTATTCAAACGGTACAAAAGCAAGTGCGTGTTGCACATATCATGCAAGGTTTTTGGTGGTTTTTCACTGTTTTTGCTAGATTGAAGAAATATGTCAAAATAAGTCCTAACATTCTCACCTTAGCAAAGTGTGGGTCAAGTCTGACACTGGTCTGGGCATCTTCAAGAGCTCTTTTATAATTGGAATCCATCATATAGGCTGCTGATCTGTTCCCGTAGAAGGCAGCATTTTTTGGATTTAGATCTGAGAATAACAAGATGGAGAATTGTGAGCAGGAATGTACAGATTAGATTGAATATTCTCGAGAGTGATCAAAGAATTGGAATTAGATATTTTGGCATTGTAGGTAAAAGATCTTGGTAGACCCATGGGTTTGTTACCCGTGCCCATTGTCTCACCCATGGTGCGATAAACTGAGCGTGAAGGATTCTGATAGTTTCAGTGACTTCTCAGTAAAGTAGTGGCAATGTCACATTAAAATATGACCGTAAAACTATAATTTAAATTTCAAATTTATAGAATTGACAATGGCTTCAATGAAAAATATGGCCATGTTAGCATTTGGCTGGCAATGCAAAACGAGAATGGTTTCAGTCCTTTAAAAACTACCGTAGTAACCAGTTGTCTCTGGCTTGTTTAGAGAAGAGATGTGGTGGAAATGGTCTCCTTAAAATACATTCAAAATTATGGATAGTAAGTTAGTAACATTCTAAATACTAATTTCGAAAATAATTTGGTTTTCCAAGCATTTGACATTTTTTTCAAATATCAATAACTTCAAACCAGAGAGAGGATTGGAATTACAGATATATACCCATGAATTCGGTGGTCTAATATTATAGTTATTTAGTATTATTGTGAGTCATGTACCGGTAAATATGTTCACATTATAGACCATTCAAACTGTACAAAAGTCAGATTGAGAGTTGTGCGTATCACTAACCAGAGATGCATTAAAAATTTATGAAATAAAATAAAACAGAGCTTCCATGCATAGTGAGGGAGTAATAAAATAGATTCAAAACAAGCAAAAGTAGTAATGTAAGGACAAACGGTGGTAACATCTGACTTAAAAAATCCGACGTTGAGCTAAGTATTGAGCACCCCCTGTGGGCAGACTGTTATTAAGACAAATCTTACCGATGGCCTCGGAGTAAAGTCTAACGGCTTCTCGATAATTTTTTTTCTTGTAAAACTCATTTCCCTCAGCTTTCTTCACTTCCGCACCCCTAAAAAAAAGTTAAAAATTTAGTTATAGAGGGAGAGAAGCAGGGGGATAGAGTACTTTAAAAAATGAAAATAATTATTAGCAATAAACACAGATGGCCAAATCTATTCCAAAACAATGGGCCTATTTTTAAATATGGAACATATTTATGTGATGTTTTCTGTAGATCTTTCAATGCCCGGTCATTGTGCTGTCATCGCTAAGCAACGAGGTGAACATTTATTGTCCAAAATATTCACACACAAGGTAATATAATTTAACCGCCATTTTTTGTCCAAAACTTACTTGATGTCAATCTCTGGATCTACATCCATCGGAGTTTGAGATGACGCTGGTATCTGCTGACTTGAGTCCGTTGAAGGCATCACTGCTGCCTCAAGTGTCCAGAGTTTTTTATTGGGAAGGTGGACGTTTGGCTTTGATTTAGCTCTAAATGATTATCCAGAATTTTCGTTATCCGATTTCCAAATGTAGGCTGTATCCTTGAAGGATTTTTGGAGTAGCTACTTCACTTTATATTCTACCTAATCCAACCTGAGTACAAGCAGCCGAAGGCCTACTAGCAGCCACTAATAATACAAAACAAAGCATCAAATAGGTGACCAAATGGATTCATACAAATACATATTGATTTAACATGGCCCATGCTTAAGTTCATAACACCAATAGGTCATGCACAGAAAATGAAAAATTTCCAGGATTGTCATAAATGAAACATATAAATCAGTGGTTGTTCCCAAAGTTGATTGACAGGAGGCCAAAATTAGAAGCGGAAGGATATTGTGGCCCTGGAGAGAGCAAGTGTGAGACATGTATGTAATCCCAATACCAGTATGTACAACCAAGATACCAGTATAACTGAATTATTCCGAAAATACACAAGCTCAAACTGCGATATTTAAAACGCAAAAAGGGTAAAAACATAAAGTATGGAACTATTTAACTCAAGTTTAGCGGGCCATGTTAAATTGTTATGCTGGCCGTAATTAGCCCACGGACTGCGATTTGGGAACCACTGATAAATGCACAAATTGCAAGAAGTAAAAACAAGATCCTTCATCTTTTAAATACCAAATAATAACAGAAATGAAAATGAAATTCCAAGGCCTATAGGTATTAGCGCGTCACTGTTGTTAAACTTGGCGCAAGCGGAACATTATAAGTAAATCGAGGGCTTCAGCCTTCAATCCAAAGAGATGAAACTTGAAAAATATGTTTTTAGGAAATAACAAAACAAATATTTTTTGACTTTCAATTGAACTACTCAAACTTTTTATTGAAATAATTTGATGGATATTGTTTCAAACTTCGAGAAATAGAGAAATCCACTAAATCAAACTGTTACACAGGCCTTGTAAGAAATTCATCAACAGTTCAGATGCAGAATATCATCACTGATGTGAAAATAATATTAACATTGCCAGCCAAATCTAAAACATGCTCATGTTGTTAAATAACTGTTGAAAATAGTAATGTAACAATGTGAATCACAACATTCCTACTTTTGAAAAGCAGCCCTCAATACCAACATAATCTTGCAATTCAACAAATAATTTTTTTAACCTGACGAGCCCACTAAAGGGGCAAGAGGGCAGTTGGATGGGGGCCACCAGGCTAGACCAATAACTGATTTTACTTTTTCTTCTACCGCAAAACTCGTTCTTTCATTGCTTGATAACATTATTTCACAGAGTATGTTCAATTTGTTGAGCATGAATTATTTAAACAGAATGGAATTTGAAATATACCAATCAAAATAACACTATAAATACCACTGGAACAATAAACAGGTGGGCATGAGTGCTAAAAGCCCACAGAAGGGGGCCACAAGCCATAAAAGGTTGGGAACCACTGTTCTGAACATTCCTACTTATACAGCCCTCCAGACTATCACAACCTAGCTAATCCCCAGGCCTCAAATGATATCGCCTCGTCAGAAATAGAGATAGACTAAGAATGTGTTAATGGCAATATCACACTTCCAGAAAGTAAAAATACCTGTCACCTAAATGGTTAATTAACGTTACTATCCCAATATGGCCCGCTAGAAACTAAGATAATATTTTTTCAAAAATGGACAATGCTAAATTTTACCCATTAATAATATTTTCAATGTGAAGTGAAAAATAAAGAGAGATAGTTTTTTTTTTTCGAAAAGCTCAATTGTTTTGTATAATCCAGTACAGTCAGCAGTCCATATTACATAATTCCACAGTTAGTTGTAGGTCATATATCTTGGTGTTGAGCTGAACTTTGCATACGACTTAATCACTTTGTTGACAGCTTCCAGAAAATCTTTTTCCGTTGCAACTTTTCTTCGAGCACGAATAGCGTACATTCCAGCCTCAGTGCAAACGCTGCGAATTTCAGCGCCAGTGCTGTTTGGGCACAAACGAGCCAAAAGCTCGTATCGAATGTCACGCTCGACACTCATACTCCGAGCATGGATTTTAAAAATGTGGGTTCTGCCTTCAAGATCTGGCAACCCAAATTCTACTTTTCTGTCCATTCTACCTGGACGCATCAGCGCTGGGTCTAAAGTGTCAGGCCGATTCGTTGCCATTAGTACCTTGATATTTCCACGTGGGTCAAATCCATCCAATTGGTTGATAAGCTCCAGCATTGTACGTTGAACTTCATTATCTCCGCCAGCCCCGTCATCGAATCTAGCGCCACCTATGGCATCAATTTCATCAAAGAAAATTAAACATGCTTTCTTAGTACGAGCCATTTCAAATAATTCACGAACCATTCTGGCTCCTTCCCCGACATACTTCTGTACCAACTCGGAACCAATAACACGAATAAAACAGGCATCAGTACGATTAGCAACTGCTCTCGCGCAGAGTGTTTTCCCTGTTCCTGGTGGTCCAAAAAGAAGAACCCCCTTCGGAGGATCTATTCCAAGTGTAACGAAACGTTCAGGGTGCAACAAGGGAGTTTCCACTACTTCACGTAACTTCTGAATTTGCTCCTTGCAGCCTCCGACATCCGAATATGTTACATCTGGTTTTTCTTCAACCTGCATCATGGTAACAGTGGGGTCAATTTTAGGGGGTAACGGGATATGAATTTGGTATTTATTTCTATCTACCCCCACTCTCATGCCTTCTTCTATATCAGTCGGAGCGACCTGATCCCCAAGGTCGACGACGAACTTCGCAAATTGCTTTACATTGATGATATACTTCGCGTTATCTGTGTCAGCATCAATAATTTTCGTACATCGAGCTACTTGCAATGGTTGTTCACTATGTAACGTTTGTTTATCAGCGGCAAGATCCCACAAAGCCGGTGGGGCAAGTCCAGTGTCCGATTCTTTAATTCCTGTGAGCTCATTAACACGTTTCGTAATCGCTATGATGTCATCTTCAACTTGTTTGATTTGCTTAGCATACGGACCCTGTCCGTACGTCTTCAGAAGTGCGATATCTCCTTCATCCAGAGCTTGGATCGGTTTCTCGTCCTTATTTTCATCGTCACGGACTCTGCGTTGGTCATCTCCCAAATAGTCTGGCATTTTTATTGTTATTTAGTTTACTTTATAAATTATTATAACACTAGAAAAATTGAACTGTTATTGAAAAAACACATACAGACTTATATAAATATTATTATACATTATTCGCTATTCGATTAAGTTTTTTAATCTGTAAATGAATCATTTTACCATCTCTACCCGTTTGTCAGTCATCGGGTGCAGTCGCATTTTTCAGCGGTGCAGAAGGACTAAAATGAACCAGCACTGAAGAAATATCAACATGTAAATACTGAAATATGTAAAGGACATTGTAGCATTAAGGCAACATACAGACATCATAACAGAATCGGAAGATAATAAATCAAGAATATGAGGAAATCTATGGGAGTGGAATGCGACTGTCAGCAGATACTGCAAATGCTATTACTACAGTACGGCACACTATACAAATCGGGTGACATTGTCACGTTTCAGAGAAACCCATTTTACAGATGATCAGACACCCCTACTTTGGGAGACGTCTGGACATTGTTGTCCCTCAATATCGGTAATAATACAGTATAATGAAGTTGCGCAAAATACTACAAAAAAGCGCAATTCAGTAACGTCATCATTGAATTTCTTGGGGAAAAATAATCCGATTTATCAAAGAAAAATTTTTTTAGCGTAGCATTCGAGAGTTTTCAGCAAAAAACGGCAATTTTGGTCATGTGACTGCCGCGATTAATTTGGATTATTATTGAGACAAGCATGGTGTGATATGACGCATCTGACGTGGTCCCAGACACCCCTCGTTTGTGAGACACAGAAAGTGTTTGTTTTATAGAGCCAAGTGGAGGGAAATTCTTGAAATTTGGATAGGGTGCTGTACTGTGCTAGAAATTCTACTTGAATACTAAATGAGAATTCAACTATATATGCGTAAATAGTTTTTAATGTAAATTGATATGACCATAACAATGCTCAACGTTTTTGAACATTCATTTGATGGCATATTTTTGTTTTGTTCTCTCTTTGTGTATACTGTTTTAACAATGCTGGCCACGTCAATATATCAATTAGGCTACAGACCTGTTCACGTGTGATTAGTGTTTTTCCTGAAAATTGTTTTTATTAGCGTTCGTACACCGAGTTTACCGTCATAGTTTAGAGTTTGTTTGATCTTATACCACTTTATCACCTTTTCAGCAATGCCCGATCTAGCAATCAGTGTAGTTTTTCATGGTTTTTCTTAGCTTTAATGACTATTGTCGTCAGTTTATTACATTGCACTCCCCACATTATCTTTATATCAGATTGTATTGGTTATATCAATGTGAGTGTTAAAAGTACAACAGCCCGAAAGTTTAATACTATTTCGTATTTGGGGTCTCGTGTAGTTTTGTATCTAACATACTTCTAGTAGGCATAGCATCACAATTTTCTGACATATCAATCCTAACCCCCACCTGACCATGCCATCCAAAAATTACCTCACTGCGACATCACAATCACGTCATAGAGCTTGCCAAATATACGTACGATCGCCCGAAATGGCATCGGCCACGACGATAATGAACTTACTAACGTTAGCAATCTCTTTCATATTAGGATCGTCGAGACGAAAAAACGAGAGAAGTAGCCATTCGATTTCAGGTGTGCAGACGAGCGCGTTTTGGATGACTGTTCGTATAGTTTGAAGGGCTCTATTACGTCACTGTGATGTCAGAGAGACATAATTTTTGGATGGCATGGTCAGGTGGGGGTTAGGATTGACACGTGCAAATATTGTTACTCTACGCCCACCAGAAGTATGTTAGGTACGAAACGGGTCTGGTATAGTTTAGTACCACTTTAGTACTTCTAGTTGACCTGGCTCAACAATTTTTGCATATGTCAATCCTAACCCCCACCTGACTTCGTCACCGAAAATTTACGTCATTTCGACGTCACAGTGGCGTAATAAGGCCCACCGAAGTATGCGGATGGTCGTCCAAAACGCACAGACGATCACCCAAAATCGAGCAAGCAATTTCTCTCGTTTTCTTGTCAGAACGATCACTATAGGAGAGAGATCGCCGGCTTTAGCAAGTTCGTTATCGGCGGCGCAGATGTCATTTCGGGCGATCGTAATTATACTTTGGCAATCCCTATGACGTGATGGTGACGTCGTAGTGACGTAATTTTTGGATGGCATAGTCAGGTGGGGGTTAGGAATAGCATATGCAAAATTCGTTATGCTACGCCAACGGGAAGTACTTGTGGTACTAAACTATACTAGACCTGATATTTATCATGTCTTAAACTATTTTGTATGCTCTCCGGGGGCCCTACTAAAAAGGTAGGTATCATAGGTATCACTAACTAAAAAGGTAGGTATCAGTAATAAATGACTAAAAAGGTAGGTATCAGTAGTAAATGACTAAAAAGGTAGGTATCAGTAGTAGATGACTAAAAAGGTAGGTATCAGTACCGTAACAGGTTAGGGTTAGGCGATAATTTTTTTCCAATTTTCCTTATTTTAGTCCTATTATCAGTTCGAAGACTAGCCAAGGGCCTCCCGTAGTATTTATACCTAAAATTATGGCCTAACCCTAACCTAGTACACATATTACATTCCGATGTCCGCCATCTTGGTTCGCATACTTCGGGAGCCCCCTTTTTAGTCATCTACTACTGATACCTACATTTTTAGTTATTTACTACTGATACCTACCTTTTTAGTCATCTACTACTGATACCTACCTTTTTAGTTATTTACTACTGATACCTACGGTACCTTTTTAGTCATCTACTACTGATACCTACCTTTTTAGTCATCTACTACTGATACCTACCTTTTTAGTTATTTACTACTGATACCTATCTTTTTATGCAGTGATACCTATGATACCTGTGATACCTACCTTTTTAGTAGGGTCCCTCTCCGGTATCCTCCATTTTTAATCTGTGTGTATTATGAAGTTTTTAAATTAAACTACTGTATCTATCTATCTAATACTGTAATAGACTACACACTTTTTAGCTTCTCACAAGCACGCCAAAATCCAGACCTATTAACAATTAAATGCGGCTTATTTATAACTGTGAATACAAACTTTTCCTTTACAAGACAGTCTGGCGAGACAGCCGCCACAAACCCGCAAACTGATAAATCCAGAAATTGGCAACCCACCAACACGCAATAAATCATGAAGCGCAATATAAAGATCACCATTCTGCCATTCTGCCTCAGAAAACAATTACTGAATTACGGTACCCTGGTACCGGTACCGGTATCTCATCCAAGGTCAAGTCTTAAGAAGACTACAGATTGCCATTTGTTCTATCTTATCCTTACTTATAGTGAAACTTTCCTAAATTAACTCAAAACGAAAAGAAACAGGAACGAAAACTTGAACAAGAACTGAAACGGACGACCAACAGCAGTGGCGCACTGGCTGAATCATGTAATTGTGAAAGTATGAATAAGCAAAACGTATTTCGTCATGGTTGCAGTGGTGATGGGAGTCGTTAACATGTCTTCATATACGGATGGTATGGACCTTTCCCCGAGCAACGACTTCCTTGTTTACTTCGTGACATTGGCCAATCAGCTACATGCAAAAAGTGACGTAACAATGCCCACATTTCGCATCCGCTCAGACACTTTTTTCACTCAGACAGATTTTCAAGCGTGGTCGTAAACATTACCTCGTTTTCGCGTTTTTGAATTCTATTCGTTAGTTTTCAGTTGTGCTTCGGAAACTTAAATATAAATCATATAATTCAATGATCACTCTGTCTTCCTATGAGTTTTAATTTAAGTGCAGTAATAAAAAATTAGTGTAGAAATAGCTGTGATATCCTAAGCTAAAATTCTTTATTGGTACTTTTAAAAAACAGATTAATGTATGCGATGAATCATAATGATGGTTCGAAACACATATCCAGTTTTACAGGCGCCAACTCGCACAAGCACTCTTAAAATAGCCCCCAAAATTTTGCAATGGTAAAGTATAGAAAGAATTTTTCGGGGGTCAAAGGTCGGGGAAAGGTTCATAGGATAGGATTTACATATTTATCCCGGGGAGAGGAAAGTCGATAAGACGGCTTAATCATATGGCGAACCACGGCCTCTCGTCCGGTTGCCATTCCATGTCGGGTATGGAATCAGTTAGTTACTTGTTTTTGGAAGCATGGACTTGATGGTGGAGGAAGCCGTAAGCCGTTGTGTAGTTTTTTGTTTCAGATGCATGGATATATTGAGAGAAGAGATAAGGTAAGTTTATTTCGACTCCATAATCAGCAAAAAGGCGATAAAACAGTTGATAAAAACAAATAAATAAAAACGGATTATGAAATCAGGGAAGGTATTGTTAAAAAGAAGTGGTACGTGTTGACTCACCTAAAAAAACTGAATCAAATCATTCACACTCGCACACACACAGCCAAAGGGCATTAAAAAAATTAGAAAAAAGAGAGAAGCTTTAGATAAATTATATGGTAACCAAAAAATAAACACATAAAAAAGAAATTAGAATAAAAGATAGGAAATGTATTAAATAACAAAAACTGTTTGCCACACCATTTTGGTAATTTTGTAAAAATTCCCAAACAATAGTGAACAGTATTTAATATAAGGGCAAAAAAATTGATTTCACCAAGCTGATTGTAATTGGAGTCGAGTGCCAAATTGCCCAACCAAAGTTGTCAAAGTTGAGTGCACGAAAAGGTGGGCTAAACCTTTTCATTCACCAAAGACATGCCAAAATATTGCCAAATTATAGTCCAGATTAGATCAATTATCAAATACTACTGGTAACAGTTTAAGTACCGGTGTATTATAATTAGATTTGGGGATTGATACTGAGGTAGGTATTGCAATTTATTGGTTATAAAAGGCGGGAGCAAGAATAAAGGAATTGAGGATGTTTTTCATAGGATCCTTTGAGATTAATACGGAAAATTCATCAGAGTCAGTCTTTGGAAAATTGTTCACATATTTCACGTCATTCGATGATTGTGACGTAGCCTGAAAAACAAAAAACAATCTGCGAGTAGGTGTTTAAAAGATTGCATATATGGATATATGTCGACCTATTAATTATTGGGAGATAAATGAAATTGTCAAATTTATTTTAGGGGTTATTGATCAATGACTGAAGTCCTTACTTGCTTCCGGAATTCCTTTTAACGATCGACTCTGCGAACATTTTGCAAGCTGTGGCCTTCCAGTTTCACTATTTCTCCGAGGTCAGTTCCAAACTTGGTTTGCGCTAAATTATCTTCTGCGTCCTGTCGCCGATGATCGCATAATAACGCACTTTTCCTGTCAGTTTATTATCCGCATTTACAAAGTTCAATGGGAACCATAGCGAGGGTGCTCCATCATTGAGAAATGCTCGCCCTAACAAACTTAAAAAATAACTGGCGACGATTCGCTGAGGAAACTTATAGGATGGAATTTGCAGCTAAAATTTCCGAATAAATTCATTCTGATTTTCGTTTCGGCTCTGATTGTTCATACCGCCTTCGTAAATTAAAAAAATACCAATATCTATATGGCTGGCTCCTGGATTCGTTTTCTTTTTTCTGTTTGTATTTTTCTATCGAGTCTAAGTTATTTTTTCCTTCAAAACAAAACCTCTGAATTGGGGATTCGAATTTCACCAAATGGCCTACTAAACAAGAGAGCTATGCTCAAATATATGGACACGTAGCGCCACCCAATGGCAATAATTTTGATGACGTCATAGCGAAAAAAAAAGTAATAGCCTTCTGGAGAAAAATTTTATCTTCAACCACTGAAAATTTCAAAGCAATTGGTCCAGTATTCGAAGAGAAAAGCGACTTTTTAAAAACGTGTCAAAGAACAACAACAAGGACAACAAGAACAACAACAACATAATATTGAAACGATCGTTATGTCCACTACGTGTCCAAAAATGTGAAACTCATGCGATATTGGTAGGCTTACCATACGTCCTGCTGTAGGCGGGACAGTCCCGCTTTTTAGCGTCTTGTCCCGCCAAGTCAGCCAAATGTCCCGCTTTTGCGTTCAGCCATCCAGCATAATATACGAACAGGTTTTCGTTACTGTTGTTACTGTGTAGCGCAACACTAGCGTACTTACTGAAGGTGAATGTGTTATTCTGTTTGTTTCCCACTTTACATTGTTTAGCGAACTTATTACATGTAAATTTAATTTTAGTTAGTCCCGTTCGGACCTTCACGTCCCTAGGTACTCCCTGATCATGTGAACCAAGGTGGCGGACACCGGGAGGTAGTGTGTGTACCAGGTTAGGCCAAGTACAAATACTACAGGAGTCCCTTTGCTAGTCCCCGAACTCAATATAGAACTAAAATAAGGAAAATTGGAATCAAATTATGGCCTAACCCTAACCTGGTACACATACTACGAAAGTTTGAAAACTCGACCCAGCGACCCGGACTTCTTAGGAATCCAAAAAAGAAACTTATTCTGGAACATTTTATTTTTTAAGAATCAGAGAAATCGCACAAATAAAAATAAAGATTTGAATTTTTAATCAACTAGTTTCGTTTCCATGAATATAATGACACCGGCCACTATGAGTCCACTCAGCCATCCTCGCTTTGCCAACTGAAATAGAAAAAATGATGGTTACAAGCTGGCATCCATCCACTCATATATAGCATTATATAGAGCAGGGGTGTGGCCACCCGTGGGCCACATGCTGCTCACAGGGAAAATTGTGCGGCGCATGGTGGAGTGCCAATTTTGAATGATGTGCGGCCCGCGAAACAAGTTTTTAATTTTCCTCTTTTTTGACGCATGTCATAAGATCAATCAACATTTTTGTGCCTGTAACTACTAGAAATCATTATTAAATAGAAGTACGACCCGCGGTTTCGGTCGGTTATTAATATCTGGCCTCTTCTGTATTAGAGGTTGCACAACCCTGATATAGAACAAGGGTGCGCAACATTTTTTGTCAGTGGGCCATATAACCAACTTTGGACATCCAGCTGGGCCACGCAAACAATTATGTTTTTCCATGCACACAACGAATTAAAAAATAGTTTACTGAACTACATCAAATTCTAGATAGCTAGTAGATCTAAAGCAGTGGTTCCCAACTGCCGGTCCGCGGACCGGTGCCGGTCCGCAAAGCTTTTTTGCCGGTCCGCGAGAAATTTCATTGTTTTTATGCCGTCTCAATCGCTTTACCGAAGACGAGTTTACGTTAGTTTATTACGCAATTTCTCTTCCGCCGTCATATTGGCGACTTCTTTCACGACATCTTGGCGCCGAGTAGGCTAATCACACTTTTCGCTTTTTTGGCTCCGATTCATCGCGAATGCGCGGCATCAAATCTCGCAAGATTCAGAAACCTAAAAATCGGCACGCGTACTTTTTCTGTTCAGCATGCTTTTCCTAATTAACATTACCATCCATATAAAACGTTATGCATATTTCTTTGTTTAAACCCGAAAACAGTTAAAAACAGTATAATATTCCAGTAAGATATGTAGGCCTACTTGTTCCGACCCTGCAGGTGGTCACAAGACGCGCAAAAAAGCACGGGCCGCTGAGATCTTTTCCAGTATTTTGAGCAGGCACAGTTGGATTTTGAGCCTGGTGCCAAGTTACCGACGACTTTGTCATTGTGATGTAAATTCAATTCGTTTGACGCGTCGATCAACTGCAGTGGCATTCACATGTTTTTCATGTGAGATGTTGTATGTGTGCCTTTCTTACATTCATAATGGGTGCCCAGCGCTGCATTTCATTACGCAAATATATTCAAGTTTTACCCATTTCAATTTTTGGCCGGCACATTATATGATATTTTTAAGTGTGCCTTTTTTCATCTAAAAGCATACTGAGTGCCCGACATTGCATTATATTACGCAAATATATGTTATTCTTTTCTGTTCCGGTCTTTTCAATTATTTGCCGGTCCGCGAGTACATTTAATTTAATTTTACCGGTCTGCCATGGTAGAAAGGTTGGGAACCACTGATCTAAAGTGCCAAGCAACCAAAATGAGATAATATTATGTCACAAAATAATGTTGCAAACAAGCGGTAAATGAAAGCCTGCAACTAACAGTGATACAGGCACCAGGAAAAACGACGAAAGATTTAACGCGGCGACAAGAGCAAAAATACTTATTTTTACCATATTGATGTCCTTTCTGAACATAAAGTGTCAGATTGGGATTAGTAACAAATTTGCAATTTGTCTTTTTAAATCATCGAATATTACCCCAATTAATCATTGAATATTACTCCAATTAATCTTAAAAACTTGACTTTCGACTTAGCACCTGTAAATTTCCATGAGCATAAAAAAATTCCACCAGACAATGAAATCATCACTATTTTTAAACTTAAACTAGGTCATTTCATAAACTTTACAAGATATTCGACCTAAATAATAGTGTGGATGAAATAGGAAATTATCGTGCACATCCAAAATTCCTCCTATCAAAAACGAGACAAACTAGAATTTGATTGGTCGAGGAAAACCTTCTTACCGAAAAAGTAATAAATAAAGATAGACAAATTATCCCCTAAATTGAGAAACCCCCAATTCCATATAAATAGACTGATCGGGAAAAAGAAAATAAAGTGTTGGGAGAAAGGTTAGCTGTTCTAGTTAATTCTGCTGTTATCTTATGGACAATGCTATTTAAGGTACAATTTATATTTTATGATTTAAGTCGTGTTTTATAATTTCTTGTTATTGACGATCGTAATTTGTTTAACCGGAGCAATAAAATTATACTAAAGAATGGATATTGAGTTGATCTGTTATATAAAATTAACAGGAGCTCCCAATTGAGCATGTTTAACTTCTGATTAATATAATTGTTTTATATCGGAGTCTAGATAGTAGGAGCCCAATATATATCAAAGTAGTTAACTAGTAAACATCAACTAACGAAGAAGATAGCCAACAGCAATTTTTGGTTACAGATTTAATGCGTGATGGGGAAAAATATGTTGACAAGGCACACACTAAACGACTCGCGGGCCGCCTGTTGCACACCCCTGATATAGACTCATATATAGCTCGAAGCAAGGACTGCTACACTGAAACAATACGACCAATTGGACATTTATGGAAGAGTGAATGGCATAATATGGGGAGAGGTAAGCTGATGTGAAAGATAAATCCTATTGGTTTTGTTTGGCTATCATTCCAGGGCAAGCACAAGAATTGCTAACTAGTTCATGATGTGAAGCTCTGCTCTTACTAAAGACGATAAACACCTACCACGACAATTATTCATGCATGAGCAGAATTCAACACAAAAATACTTACAGTATATAATGTAACTGGTGGTCTACTTCTGATAGCATATTCTGCCCAAACTTCATTCCTAAGCCAAGGATCCTTGAGACCAATCTTTGCCAATCTCTTTTGTATCGGCTCGTAACTTGTGCCTTCCACTTTCCATGTCCTGGGAATAAAGAACAGCCATTAGCAAAATAGGCAGAGAGAATTACGGTATTTCAATATCACAAATGAGACACCCAATGCCCAAGGGTTCCAATACTAGGCTCTTGAGGCACCACTAGGAATGTCCTAGGAATAGGAACATGTATTAGCCAAAATGGACAAATATGTGGAACACCTTACCAGATTTTATTATCACAAATTACAAAGTCAACAACACTATGATACATTTCAGTTCAAACAGAAAATATTCCAAGTGATTTAAAGACTCTTGTTACACAACAATAACAATTTTTTTCTGTAACGTTTCATCGGGCACATATTACGCAATAACGAAACTAGGGGGTCTGATTTGTATTTTCAAATCTCCCAGAGACTAAGTTCTCTGAAGTCGAAATTACAATTTACAGACTTTCAATGTAAATGAATTAAGTCAAAATCCCCAAAAACTCAAATTGTTACGTTTTGTTTACTAAGCTGTATCAGTAACAGGCTACAAAAAAAAAAGGCTCAAGTGCCAAAGTTTTCATTATCAAAATTTGTTTTGGCTCCGATCTGGAGCTGAAGTCAAATTCTCTTTAAATGTTATAAATTTTTCCCTGACTTAACCGCACCGAACCCCTCACAAAATCCCTCATAGGATAGCGAAAACCAGGGGCGGGTAAGGTTTTTGGACCAGTAGCAATATAAGTGGTTATAAAAAGTTATATTCTATGAACAAAATTTTATTTACAGTGTTACAAAAGCAAAAATGAAAAAGAACAAGCCTCGTGCCCAAACTAGATTTAATCACAATCTCAACAAATTCTTCAAGCAAAAACATCAAAATTTGGCTTCAGTTTGGTAGTGACAGCATCGGGCAGGCCAGATTAAATGGCCTAACGAGCATGATATGGACTGCGGGCTGTAGTTCGATGTCAGCTATATACCCTCGCTGTGTGATCAGGGGTGCATTTGAAAGAGCGTTCTTATTGAATACAAGGCTGCATATACAACACAAGTTCAAGCAGTAAAAATCAGCAATAAACAATATTCAATAAAAAATATAATCACTCAGTTTCACTGGGGTCAGGAAGACGCAGGAAACCAAATCTGGTTAATGAGCAGTGATACCCAAGATTCTGAGATCTAATCAACAGGTCGGGTGCTTTCTTTACAAAACCACTGTTGTTGTTGTGACTTGTGAGTATCGTACATCGTATGGTACGATAATCTAACTAACATCTCTCACATCTTTATTAGTGATTTTTAAGAGCTATCAAGGCCACGGATGACCAAGGTATTTCCCGCTTCAACTGGATCACTTGAAGTCATGACGCTTCTGCCGTGAAAAATTAAAAGATGGCTCGATCACCCACGTTGTTACGATGGCAAGAGTTGAAAGATGAAACTTCTGGTTGGTCACGGTTTCATCCAAATTAATAAAAAAAACTGTGGCTTTCATTATAAGCACACTGACTCAATATGCAAATCCAAGACTCACCTCCAACTAGGTTTGTATTCTTTCGGGATATCGTTCCAGCCGATGCCCATGATCTGTGCTGTTCCAGAAATTAATATTACATAAATACTAGTTGGCTAAAATTAAACGGATATCATTAGGCACAAAATTAAAGGAGATAGTACGATTAAAAATAAAATATACATACACTAGAAAGATGAAAAATTTGAATAATTTTCAGAGCATGGCATGTCGCAAAAAATTTTGGATTTCGCCACTAGTAGCAACTTTCGGAACATGCCCTGTCACAAAAATTATGGAATTCGCCACTAGTAGTAATTATTTGAGAATGATATGTTTTGATAGATCGACACCAGGATTAATGGTCTCCAGCACCCTCGAAATAAAAAAATAGATTACCATTTTTCCCTGGAAGTCGCCACTAGTAGGAATTTCTGATGTGATGCATGCCAATGCTCGAAAATATTAGAGGATATATATTTTAGAAGTGATACCTCGACAGTCAAACATAATTCGTTCAGGATTGGTGTTCCACCGCCAAAACCATTTTTGTCATGAAAAACAATGGTATGTCAACTCGTTATCATGCGTTCCAAAATAATACCAAAGCATATACATTATAAAGATTAAATACATAATCCATAATAAAGCTAGGTTTCGCCACTAGTAGGTATAATTGAAGCATGTCACAAAAATGATAGACGATATATACTTGAATATGAGACAAAAAATGGAGACGGATTTAAGCTATCGGGACTTTGCCACAGGTAGGAATATTTGAAGCATTAATGTCACAACAACAATCATACATTTTGCCACTATGGCATGCTACAAATAAGTCTAATTGTAAAATTTTTTGGATCATGATATGTTTTAAGGAAAAATATAGATCTAATCTAGGTCTAATTGAAGCGCGTCACAAAAATTATAGAAGCTTTATACTCGAATATGAGAGAAAACAGGGTTGAATGACGCTCACAAGATTTTGCCACTAAGGTACAATTGAAGCGTGTCACAAAAATTATAGAAATCATATACATGGATATAAGAAAAAATGGGGTCGGATGAAGAATGTCATATCCTCATGGCCTTGAATTATGACAGATTTGCCACGAATAGAAAGCACAATTATGGACAAATTTACAAGCAATAGAAATTTTGGGAGCATGTCAAATCACAACAACGATCATAAATTTTTCGGACATAGTTTTTGAAATATAATTTGGAACAAGATAGCTCCAAAGAAAAGTACAGAAGCCTAATCACACAAAAAATCAATGTTGCATGACAATACAGAATAAGTCCATCCTATTTGATAGGGGATGTTGCTGCCGAACGAAACTCAAGCAAAACTAAATTTCAAAGTCAACGTCCGACCATTTTTTCAAAACTTTGATCATATCGCCAGATTCCATAGAGATAAAATGCAGGCTCTCATTATCTTTGGCCATAGATACTACGTGCTCAGAGTTCTGTTGACTAACGTACTCAAGTCTTTGCATTTTAATCGGAAACTTCGTTATCCGAAATATCATCATTTTCAACGCTGCTACGGTCATAGATCGTGGAAGTTTTTTCTTCAGTGGTTTTATATCCGGTGTGTCTGGAAAGGCAATGATAACATCCAGTAAGTTACTCTTTAATGCAGTTGATTTGACAAAAAACTCGGCATCATCGCAAGCGCCATGCTCTTTCACTAGTTCCATATACCTGGGGTGGTTTCGGGTGAATTCTGGCGACGGGTTATTTTTTTCAGGGTTTTGATTCCCCCCACTTTCTCTCCAGTACCTCCCGTTCTTTTTTAAATAATCCATTTCCGCGCCTTGACGTTCGATTGTGTCCACTATACTCCGATTCAGCATTTTCAAACGAGCGATTTTCGCTACAATGATTTCACGCATTGTGTCCGCTGTTTCTTCCAATAAAACAGGGTTTTTTCGAAACATCATTTTTTCCAGATTTTTCAAGTAGTTCAATTGATTAAAAACCTCCATTTTATCGAACTTATTTCCAGATAAGCAAATTTGTTTCAGCCCCACAAAATCTTTTCCTGTCAATTGTGCTTCATGGAGTTCGCATTCATTCAAAATCAGCTCTTCCAACCCTGAAAGGTTGGAAAGACTCAGAACATTCTTCCAATCCTGAATTGGATTCGTAGCGAGGCCCAGAACTTTTAGCCGAGCAAACATGCCGTTCTCTGGTCTGCTTATTTCCTTGATTTTATTTTTGTCGAGATATAATTCGACAATATTGGGCCACAATCCCAAGCATGAAACAACATCTGACCACTTGAGGGAGCAGCTGTTCAAAATGAGTGTATGTAACGAAGCAAAACTGTCCATTAGCATATCGGGTTGTTGCGGAATTTGCATGATATTCCCACTCACATTTAACTGTTGAAGCATTTTCAATTGGTGGCAAATTTTTGCGATGCTTTCCCACTCATGAAAAAGATTTTTTGACAGATCCAAGTCCTGAATATTGGGTGCTTGGTTCAACAAAAAATTTTCGTCTCCGGGATGCGAAATATTTTCAAATCGCAATCCAACCATGGTAAGATTTTTCAAGTCTTTGAATACTTTTTGTACTTGTTCCATTCCAATGGCTTCCACTTTTGTTTTTTGAGCTGTTCCTGGGTCTTCAAAGTAAAGTTCCTCTCCTGGGGCAGTCCCATCCTTACAGTTATAGCTTGCATATCTTTCCACAAGGGCTTGAGATAATGAAATTCCAGTTGACAACTTATGGGGTCTCACAAACGAACCACCAGTGTCCGATTCACAGGTGAAATAACTCACGCCATCTTTTGTCCCATTGTGCTTACCCCTGGACGTATCGTCCCATTCAATACCAACCCAGTCACCCTTAGTAGTGGGTACTGGCCCTACATAGCGTACAGTTCCAAAATATTCTCCCACGGAAGCGCGCTGCCCCACGTAAATTACTCCCTCGGCACCCATTGTCCACCTCAGTCTGGAAGGCGACCTGACATCAGGAATGATTGTCTCTGGCGCCCTCGAGATTAAAATAGAGGTCATAGGTTAGCCTTTGTTTCCACCGCATGTATATTTTAAGAATCTAAAATCTGGGAAAGACATAAAATTTCAAATTTAAGAATGTATCCAAAATTAATTATTATTATTAGTATAGACAAAACAGTCTATGCAACAAAAAACTGGTAAAGTCCACCTGTGTCCAGCTTAACCTTGCATGAGGCGATGGCCAATGAATGAGCCGTCTTATCCACTTCCTTATCCTCAAAATAAATTTGAAAAAATTTGATAACAAAACACACCCTCTATCTATCTATATTTCACGTCGCAATACTTTTGAAAGGACGACACAAACGTAATTATCCTTTGCACGACAAGCGTTCTAAACTGTTTCTTTGTGTGAGAGGTAACGGCCCGTGGCGAGGTATAATTCATTACTCGCTATATACTTGTACTGTTATATAATTTAACGGGCTTCGTATAAAACGTTTCAAAATACACGTCACGTGTGTTAGTGAATAAGTCTTTATTGCTCGTATTTCCACTGCCCATGTTTGTATGATATCACAATCTTAAAGTTCGATTAGAGAGTATCCTATCTCATCGTATTCTTTTCCTTGTATTCATGTATTCTTGCATTGTTCACAAGCTTAAGTTCCGGTAAATAGTGTCTTATTTTGCTTTTTTTGTTTCTATGTCACAAAGCGAAATTGGCAATGTATTACTTTTAAACCTCATTTACAGTTAGCCTTGCTAGTGTGAGGAACGCCACTATACTAATATGCACCAAGACAATCGATAAGTATATGCCAAAGGGAATTTATTAAAGCGATATTTAGAAACTTGTCTAATAATTTAAATATATTGGAGCACAATGCGAAAACTGTTTCTGCATCGTTCTCGTACTAAGGACTTTCTCAGACTATTTGAAACAATATCATATTCACAATAATTCACACCGCGAAGGCATAAAAAAAAATCTCTAGCTTAATATCTAACAAACGGAAACCACATTCTGGTTAGTTTGCAGCTAGATTCTTCAATCACATAGAATTATTTTTTTGCTACAGCATTCTTGCAATATACGAGTCTGATTTTTGACTCCGGTCTGGCAGAGTGTAATAGTGCGCTGCAAGACAATAATCCTTACCCTTGCTACAGCATTCTTTGATCATAAGCGTACAGTCTGTCCGATGCAAACGCTTTGGTATGGCAAAGGTATTATTCTCACAAAGTTATAGAAATGAGTTAAGGTTCTGCAGTAGAACTCTTAAATCACTCAGAAGAATGAGTACTTAGTCTTTGCAAAATATAGAAATACATTTGCGTTAGTATATGCGGCAAGACTTTGACTTACTCAGAATAATCTCCACTTTTATTACTATAGCATCCTTGCATTATACACAAACTCACTAGCGCAGTAGCATACATATATACCCAATCAATAACACACAGTAATTTTTCTCTCAGCAAAACAATTCATAGTACTTACACGCACTTAGCATAACGCTGTAGCCTCAGCAGCCTGGCAATACACGACTATACTTGTAATGATTCAAACGCTCTCACTTCCTCGATGACGTCATACCTGGTTATCTACTTAACATGAGCGGAAACTAGGTCGATGACAAAGGAAAGGGGGAGACGCAAATACGGCGTTGTACACACTCAAACAAATATGGGCCGTACTTGAGGCGAGTCAATTTCTTGCTCGACTAAGCTCCTTGCATTTAAATCTCAAATTTTTCAATTGACAACGCAATGTGACAGAATAAAACTGACAAATTACATCGTTATGCTTTATGCATTATCAACACTGGCCGTAAATGGTATAAGCCTAATTCTTTGAACGCAAAATATGCGGAAGACGTATGGTCGGCCGCCTTACATGGCCCGTAGTTCAAACGAGTGAAAATTCAGGCTGTATGTCAGGTCAAGCATGTTGGATATATGCTTTATATATTCTCATCATTTGCCGTAGCAAACATGAGCTAGGTCGTCGGGGCGAAAATGTTTCGTCTATCCCAGTGGTTCTCAACCTGTGGTACGCGGAAGATGATCAAGTGGTACGCGAGCAGCTTTGAATTATTGCAACAACTAACTTTTGAGTTGGCTAAAATATGCCGACAACGCTTCATCTTCAATACTTTATGTATTCGCTGAACGGCCTTCATGAATTTTTTTCCCGTGCATCAATTTCCTCGTTTACTTCCGTATACAGCAACAATCAATAAACATTGCCTAGTTTTTGTAGTTTTTCATGTTATTTGTCAGTTTTCAGTTGTGTTTCGAAAAATAGTGGTGATTTGAATAACTTAATTGTCATTATGTCTTCAAAATAGCATTAATTTACTTGCTGTAATCATAAATGAGTCTCGCAAATGCTGCGATAGACCAGTCTAAATTAAGCTATCAGTGCTTGTAAGCGGCACATGGTTGATTAATTTTAGTCAAAATGAAGGTTTCAAACACGTAAACCAGCTTATTAGCGCCAACACATCAGAACACTCTCAAAAAAAGTTTAAAAATTCTGCATTAGTAAAGTATAGAAAGAATTTTTTTCTCAGGTCAAGGGTCGGAGAAACGTCCCATGAACCAGTCCAGTCTTCAGAGATCGCCCTCGCCTGCCATTGTCCACTAACGAATCGAAATGGGCATGTTTTCGTTTGTCTTTCGAATTAGGTCACAAAGGATGTAGTGCCACATTCTAAAATACTTCCATAGCGCGTTTCTTGTGCCATTGTTCCCCACGTCAAAAAGAGGCTTCTTCGGTGGTACGTGGCCAGAGTAAAAAACAGTAAAGTGGTTCGCGGTCAGTATAAGGCTTAGAACCACTGGTCTCTGTCCCAATCCACTTGAATCTATTTTTTTCGTTGGAGAGGCTAATATTCTTCGCCACCCGGGGGCTGTAATAATACATACATAGATCGCTCTTCCACAGACTATTCACAATATAGTAAACGATTTATAGCGTATTATCGACTTAACTAAATACGTGGAAGACGTATGGTTGGTCACCTCACACGGCCCAAAGGTAAAATGATTGAAAATTCAAGCTGTATGTCAGGCCAAGCATGTTCGATAGATGCTCGACTGTGGCATATGTGGCCCTTACATGGCCTGTAGTTTGAACGAGTGAAAATTCAGGCTTTATGTCATGACAAGCATGTCGGAAAGATCTATATATGTATATCATCATTGGCCGTAGCTGACACGAGGTAGATCGTTGGCACAGTATCGTTGACTGCAACAAGTCGATTTCCGTTTTTTTTAATTTGTTCCTTTTTATATTTATTTTATATCGTATATTGGTTTGACGAAAATAAATATCTGAATCTGGAGGGATTAATACGTTGAAGAGAGAATCATTAAAACAGTGAATATGCCTCACCACGCATAAGGCTGTAGAAGTACATTGGTCGCCGAATTCGCCGATTTTATTGATTATTTAATATGCGTAACATGCGTCCTTGGTCAGACGAAACGTTACAGAAATATATTTGTGTTAGTGTGCAGCAAGACCCTTTAATTACAAAGAAGAGAGAGACGCAAATATAGCGTAGTACACACTCAACCAAATATTCGTGAGATATGTGACCCTTACATGGCCGTAGTTGAAACGAGGTAAAATTATTATCAAGGTCGTTATGCTAGGTCGAGCATTTTCGATACATGCTTCATATATCATTAATAGTAGCCGTAATTGAGACGAGCTAAAGCTTAGCAACGGAATTAGCAAATAGCTTAACCCAAAACGCTCCTCCACTGATAAAGGAAAGATAAAGCCGCAAATATAGTACACACTCAACCAAATATGTATGGTGTACGTGGCCCTCACGTGGCCGTAGTTAAAACGAGTCAAAATTGGTACTGAGGTCGTTACGCCAGGCCGAGCATGTTCATAATATGCCCAATCCATCATCAACGTTGACTTTAAATCAGACCAGCGTAATTCCAGCGACGAAATTACGCACTTAACTATCCCCTTGAATTCATTCCTTTGCGCTCCAGATGTGTGTGTACCAATATAGAGGGAACTAATTTTGCCCGCCTACTTTTCACCAAGTTGTGTAAAGGGACTGAAACCTATGGGCAGGGGGTATATTCACTTGGCTAACACAGACAGTCCCCGAAATCGTAATAAAATTATGTCCGAACCCTAACCTGGTACACACACTACGGGAGTACCCAATTATTTCCATTGAAGAGGGAAGGACGAACAGGTTTTAACATTGTATATGCCTAATCGGTGAGTAGGCCGTGGAACGTATTTCCATACATTGTCGTTTTTTAATTGACCAAAGAGAGAAGACGTCGAAATATAGCGTAACATATACTTATCCAAGCGCGATCCTTTTCTGTGACAATTTAATTATTTTTATTAGACAGACAAAAAATTCATGACCGAACAACCCCCAAAAATTCAGCAATTTTATTCAAAAGACAGAGCGTTCAGATTCAATACTACTAAACATGGCACTTCTGCTTAAACTTCAAAGCGTTTAATCCATGTTACCTCAGTTTAGTGATAAAAAAAATATTCCACGATAGGATATTATATGTTATCTCCAAACAAAAACCGTTAGAACTGTAAAGTTGACAATACAACTCAGTTCAAAGTCAATACATCGATTAATACAGATTAACAAAACCACACACTAATAATGAGCATGCTGCCCAAACAGTAAAAACAGAAAACAACCACAATAGAAAATTATCCACGCCTGAGCGAACATGATAAATGAAGCAAAACGAAAGTGAAAGAATGCAGTGCTTGAAATGAATAAAGAAGAACAGTAACAAATTCACTGTGTTTTATTTTAAGTTTAGGAAAGACGTAATTGTCCGAGGGTAAGCGTTTGAACGAGTCGTTCAGGAGATGCCCCTTTTTTGGTAAGAACATCAGCCAATTGTTTTTTCGATTCGACCCAGCTTATGCTGTTGATTTCTTTGTTTTGAATCATCTCCTTCAGCATCCCTATTTCAACTCGTAAGCGTTTGTTGGAAACATTTTTACTGGATCGGAGTGCTTCACATAGTGATCGATTGTCGGTTATGACATCGAGTTGTAGGCTTTTGAGTTTTCCAAAATATATCTACGCA